TCTGCCTTTTCGTCTTCCTCAGTTCTTCTGTGTGCATGTGTCCCATCTTCCCAGCCAGAGCACAGCCATGGGCCGAGACCAAGTGTGGAGGGAGCTGGTCCAGGGGAACCTGGTGTGTGTGTGTGTGTGTGTGTGTGTGTGTGTGTGTGTCCTGAAGACGGCTCAGGGCCGCTTCTTCCTCCATGTGCCTGCTTTGATCTGTTGTGCCGAAACACGGATGTTGACCCTCCTGACTCAATGAAGCTGGGGCTCACCACTGGGAAGGGACTAGGCATAGGTGATTCTAACAAGAAACCGATCCTCCCAGGCGGCCTGTGGCCACTCCCCTGGCTGTTCTGGACTCCAGCCTCGTGTGACGGCAAGCACTGTGTGTGGTTGTTTAGCGGTGTGTGTTCAGAGCCTTACCAGTGTCGTGTTCTCTGACCCTGGGGTTCCACTTGAGGGACCCTACCCAGAGATGGTCGTTCAGACAGTAACAAAGAAGATACGTCCAGCAACTCTACATTTTTTAAAAGACAAAGCAAAGTGCACCAAGTGTTTTAGTATAATCCATGGTCAGAGATCGGTTAAAGAGATAGTTACATTCATATGGTGAAATAGCTTCCTGCCAAAAAAATTGATGTTTAGTATATGTGCTGCAGAATCCAGCACAAAACCGGATGTTTAAAAATATTCATTCATGGGGCTGGGGATTCAGCTCAGCGGCAAAGCGCCTGCCTGGCAAGCGCAAGGTCGTGAGTTCGGTTCCAGGTACCGGAGAAAAACCAAAAAAAAAACATTCATTCATTACGTAAACATTGATGTAGCACCTACTAGAAACTTGCCGTGTACTGAAGCTAATGCAGCAGATAGGAAAAACATGGTCCCTAAAAATAAGCAACAAGTAAATGAAAAAGTTTTGAATGGGATTAACATGGTACCTGGAGGGAAAAAGTAGAGGATGACATACTTTTTGAAAAATGTACATGCATAAAAATTATACCAGGAGAAACAATGCCAGAAGAATCATAGGTAAATTTTATGTTCTTTTTATGTTTCACTATTTAATAATTTGTCTCCTTTTTAAATAGAGAAAAACAACTTTTAAGAAAGAGTCGCACTCTAAATTCATGCTGTACATTTCATGCCATGAGTATAGAAGAGTTATTTTTATGTCTTACTAAGACAGGAAACCAAAGCGACTCCCTTGGTTTTCTTAAGTGTAAAGAGCACTTAAGTACAAGAAAAAGGAGAGGAAATGTGTTCAAAATTGCCCTTGTCTACACCATACCTCAGAACAAATTTTCTAAATCCCACATCTGTTAGGAAGGGAAGGTCACCTTCTGAGGCACATGAGGAATCTGTCGCTTGGAGCCGAGTGCCCTCTCCGTGCCAGCTCTTTGCCTGTGCTGCAGCTTGTAAGCCAGCCCTGTAGCTTGTCAGCATGCCGCCTGTGCCCTCAGAGGCCCTCGTAATACCTTGCAGATAGAGAAAAGGAACGAAACGATAAAGGAAGTGTGAGCAGAACGCTTTTTTTTGCTCGGGCTTTCCTCATGGCTGCGATGTGCTTTTATGCATCTTTGAAGACTCATCACTTGTTCTCAGCAAATATTTTTGGTAAATTTCTGAGCTCACAACTTGCTTCTGTTATCAGAGCAGAAAGATGTTTCGCTTTCAATCGCATGAAAAGATGCTCAACTCGTCACATAAGAAAAATGCAAAGTTAGCCCCTCTGCGGAGACTAGACTGGCAATCCCAGCCACAGTGCCAGGCTGCGAGCATGCACATTTCTTTTCATGCCCAGTCCAGCTCCTAGGGATGTGGCCTGGAATTTCACTTGCAAGCTACCAGAGGATCTGTTCATCAGCTTTTATTTAACACTTAGGTGGCAGCTCTTATATGGTAGTCCCCTGTTCTAAGTGCTTTCGTGTCATTAAATTGTTTAATCTTCCATACAGCTCTTTGAGGTAGAATTATTATCAGCCCTAATCTCTAGACGTGGAAATGGAAAAACAGATTATGAACTTGCCGGAAAGTCTCCCACCTAGTAGGAGGCAGAGCCAGGTTTCAGACCACTTTGCTTCAGAGTCCTTGCTCCATCTGCATCACTGAATGTCCTTGTGTAACCGAGGTTATACCCCGTGTCACAGGATTACAGCACTGTTTGTAATTGCAAAAGTTTGGAAACAACCTAAATGCCTCCCAACAGGAGATTGTCTAAGTTAATGACACTGCATTTCTCCAGCATCCTTCCAGCAAGGGACTAACCACCCAGATACTTGGATAATGGAGAAACAAGATGTAGAAGCAGCAACAAGGTGTGTTAATAAAGGCAGAATACACATTCGTAGTTGCTTGAGCAAGGGTAAAACATTTTTGGAAGGATACAGGGGAAAGAAATGGAGACCGGAAGTCACCTATGGGGAGACAGACAGTGGCTGGGGAGGGAGACTTTCATACTATTGGATTTTGAGTCCTCTTGTGTATTTTTTTTATTCAGAAACATAAATCAAAAGCCTTGAATACTACTCCTTCTTAGTATTTCTTCTTTGGCTGTGCAACCACTTTGTTGATAGATTTTTAAAAATTACACTTAAAGTATAAAAAAAAATTTTTATATGTGACCAGGTAATACAGTGCATGTTTGTGGCGTTGTTGAAAAAGCAGTCAGTCCGCAGGGAAATATCATAAGAATGCAGTCTCACTTTCGTTCTCGGGCTCCCACCTTCCCGCCAGCCCCCTCCCCCACGAGGGCTGGTAGTTTCGGTAACTGTTTCTTCTCGTTCGCCCTCCCTCCTCTGAGGGAGCACCCTGAGCTGAGGGCGGAGCAGCCCTTTTGTCTGTCCCGCCAAAACGACATCCAAAAATAAGAATCTAATTTCAGTGAGTAGACCCTTTGTGGGTGTTTTTGGAGACATCCTATAGGGCTGAAATAAATTTCCACTCAAATTACAGCCCACGGAGCCCTTGGTCTCCACTGCCTGAGTCATTATACTCCCACCTTAATCACAGCTCATCACTCAGTAGTTAAAGAGCCCAGATTCCTTTGTGGTTTTGAAATATAGATTTAATTTGATCCTCAGAGTTGAGGACAGAGGGAGATTTGTCGCCAGGACGGTGTACTCTGCACCTGCCACTGCACAAAGCATTTCTTAGGTTGTCACCGTCCGATGTGTAGCGTGGGTTAGGAAATCAGGTAGCGAGATGCATCCGTGTGTCTCCAGGAGCCGGGCCCTTTGGAAGACCATGACCTAGAAAATGGTCCAATTGGGAATGCTTCTGTTTTTTTCCGAGTCAAAAGACTTGCCGGTATTTTCTGTTGCTAGCTGGGCCAGAAGAGACTCAAGCAATACAGGGCCTGACTTGGAGCGGTGTCTCAGTCAGTTTTCTGATTATGTAACACAATACTGTACCTACTGCTGGATAATTTATAATGAAGGCAGGTTTGCTTCGCTCATGAGCCTGGCAATGGTGAAGTCAAATCACAGTGCTGGCATCAGGTGAGAGCCATAAAATGGCAGAGGGCACCATATGGTGACACGAAGCAAGCGTGCCAGCTCTGATCTCTCTTCCTCTTCCTCTGAGGTCACTAATGCCAGCAAGGGGGCCCTACCGTCATGAGATGACTGAGTTCTGAGCACCTCCCAAAGGCCCCGTCTCCAAATACCATTAATGTAAATTTGAGGATTACCTTTCCAGTGCATGAGCATTGAGGGGACACATTCACATGGCGGCAAGCAGCTCAGGGGCTGCAAGCGTTGGGGGCCAGGTACCTTAGCTGACCAGGGCAAGGGTTAAATAGTGCTGCTCATGTATCACATCATGCGACCAGATCAAAGTCCAGCACCACTTAGAGCCATGCCAGAGCTTGGCCTGGAAAGCCCCAGGGCCAGCCCTGTTTCTGATCCACCTACTCCTGAATTGTGTGGGGACAGCCCACAGGCCTGTGATGTGTAGGCGAGCAGGAGCCCTCTATGCTGAGTTACAGAGTCTAAGGGACCCAGAGTTGGGCAATGGCAGAGCTGCCCACATTGCAGAGTCAGACGATAGGCAGGTCTCTAAAGACAGATGGCCTGCCATTTGCAGCAAGGAGATGGGAGCCGTTAGGCTGAGCGGAGGTAAGTGACAGTAACAACACAATCAGTGCATACCAAAGAAGCAGAGCCATATTTCTCCTTGCCTCGAGCATTCTGCTTGCCACGAAACCCAGTGAGAGGAAAGGAGGTAGAAGCTAGGGATTTCCCCAAATGACAGTGACATGCAGCTGCCAAAGACACTGTCCCCAGCTGGACACAGGGAGGGCTCATTGATGTGGTTCCCAGTGCGTGTGAGCGAGCTTCACTTTGGTCTGACCCCGTTATAACCAAGTCCTGAGAGGCTGGGCATTGGTAGGTCCCAGCAGCATGAGCAGCATGTCCTTGTGCAGGTCACCCTCGTCCGTGCACAGATGACAGCAGTGACCTTGCGAACCCATTGCTCTGCTCTCAATGCTCGGGATGCTATTATAGGAAACTTGGGCCTCTATGGGTGGCCTGCAGTGGAGCTGGCCCCGGAGACACGTTACTTGCAGCATCAGTTCACTGGGAAGTCACAGGCTGCGTTTCCCACTTTGCTCTACACTTGCGCAGACCTAGCCCACTCAGACTCTTTGTTTCTGCTTGGAGGCAGTGAGTGGAAGGTCCCCACTGCCCCATCGCAAGCTGGCGGCCCTTCCATGAGCCGCTGTCCTCCCCATCTGTCTCTCATTTTCCCCGTGTGCCCCACCGTGCCCTTCATCCTGTTGCTCTCTCTCTGCACCCGGCAGGGATGTTTGTGTTTGTAGCAGCACTGCTGCCCCCCTGGACTGTAGGTGTCACTGTAGGTGAGCCGGAAGTAAGATTAGTGGGCCAGAGCCTTGCTGTAGGAGGAGGAGCCGGGCAGCACCTGCTACTTCCTGTTATGGCAGAGGCATTTGCACAGGCCAAGGCATGCACGGGTTCACAAAGAGCTTCCAAGGTGACTGTGGGCTTGGTGCCTTCCAGGGAAGTTGAAAGAATGGACCCTCATTCTGTATGGCACAGCAGAGCACCCGTACCACACCTTCAGTTCCCATCAGTCCCGCTCTCGCATGCTGGAGCTCTCAGTCCCGGAGCCGGAGCCACCCAAGGCTGCTGGGCCGTCCATGCAGGCGGAGATTCCCGAGGATGAAGAAGATTACACAGGTAATGCGCGTGCAGCAAGAGGAGTCGGCTAGCCTCCTCCCCTGTTGTTTTTCCACTATAGCGCTCAAAGGTGGGGCCGTTCCTGGCAAAAGGCGGGGGTTATGGTTGTGTGTCTTCTCTTGCCTGGAAATCCTAATAATAATGGTCATTTGCACTTACACAGCTCCTCCCACCCAAGGCTCTCCTAATACTTTACAGACCAGTAAGTATGCTTCAGACCAGTAAGTACCCTTCCAACCTCCTCAGGCTGGGACACTGAGTCCCCATATGCCCAACCAGAACTGGGATTTGCCCCTGCTTAATTAGCTGCCTCCTGGGACACCTCCTTTCCACAAAGGCCCCCGTCTCCCAGCTCAGCTTCCTGGCTCCCATCAGCCCATCCACTTCTAGTGGTAAGAATGTGGGAGTGGCGTAGTTTTATAATTGGTTTTTTGTTTGTTTGGTTGGGGTTTTCTTTGGTACCGGGAATCGAACTCAGGACCTTGTGCTTGCCAAGCAAGCGCTTATGCCGCTGAGCTATATCCCCGGCCGTGAGCTGCTGTAGTTTTTATCAGCACATTTAGTCAAAAGCTGTTCCTTTCTATCTGAGCCATCTCACAGCAGTTTGTGTGACAGTGGGTGTTTCTGGTTGGGCATATTAGCTAAATATTTTGGCTACTTGATACATGATGGGTGACATCTAAGAATATGAATGCTCTGTTATCTTCTGAAAAAAAAATGACAAAATGGAGAACTCCACCAATACAAATCAAAACATAAGTTATGGTTGGTTCCATTTTAAATTTCTTTTACCATTCCTTTAAAATGGAGCATTGAATTATGTATGGACTAATCTGCTCTGTTTCCCCCTGTGATTTATAAACTCTGGCAAGATTCAGTAATTATTAATAAAGAACTGATTTCTTTTTCTTTGAAAATCTGCTACTGATTGCAGCCTTGCACAGTGGAACTTCACTGCCGTGCCATTCGTCTCTCCAAATCTCTCAGTCCGTACTAGCGCAGCCTTGGTGAATACAGGGTCTCCATGGGGGTGACATGGGTTTCTAGCTCTCGGGTGGACCATAACAGCAGAACGAGCCCAGGCAGAGACCAGGACAGAGGAACACAGGCAGTGAGAGAAGAGTGTGCCGTGGCATGGAGAGATGAGGAAGGAGGAGTGGGAGGAGGCAATGTAGTCCAAGGCAAGGTCAGGGGGACTGTAGGATGGGGCTTCCAGCATGTAGGGAGCTGGCCATGGACGCGTGGTACATTGGGTGTGATGGGCCCGGGCCAGCGGAGATTCTGACTGCACCGTGGACAGAAGAACAGTTGCCATGTCAGGAAGGGTTGGGACGGTCTGATGGAGCAGTGGTCCCCAGCGCAGCAACGGGATGGAAGCAGACAGAAGGCAAGGTTGTCTACTACAAGGAAGCAGGGGTTCTACAAGGAGTGTCAGGCACTGCATTAGTCCATCTTCTGTTGCTAAAACAAAATACCTGATGCTGAGTACTTATAAAGGAAAGAGGTTTATTTAACTCACAGTTCAGGGGGCTGGAAGTCCAACATCGGAAGAGCTCATCTGCCCAGCCTCTGGGGAGGGCACCCTGGGCTGCATCATAGGGTGGCAGAGAAACAGGAAGGAAAACAGGTACATACATAAGGGCCAAGCGTGTGGGCTGACCTTGCTTCCTAATAGCCTGCTTTTGGGAGAACTAACCCAGTCCCATGAGCTACATTAATCTCTTCCAAGGACAGCACCCCGGTGATTAATTATCTTGCACTAGGACAGACCTCTTAAAGGTTCCATCCCCTCAGTACTGCCAGAGGACCAGGTTTCCAGCTCAAGGACCTTTTGGGGACACACTGAGACCATCTCCAAACCTGACCAGAGCCAGGTAGAAGAGCTGCCCTGCAAAGGGGCTGACCATGACCTGCACCAGACAGTTGGCCAACGTCACTCCCCAGGAATGGGAGCAGAGGAGGTGGCCAGGGCTATTGTCCAGGCTGAGAGAGGGCCAGGGCAGTAGTGATTCCCAGAGCTCCTGAGGCAAAGTAGGGTATGGAATCGTATTTGGTGGGAATAGGCGGTGACATCAGCACCACGATGGGGAGAGCTTGGAGAGCAGGGGGCCTGGGGACCAGGGCTCCGGCAGGGGAAAAGCCAGCAGCCACGGTGGGCAGGGTGGAGCCCAGGGAAGACTTCAGTGGCTACATTACTGAGTCTGCTGGGATAGAGCTGCCTGGTGGCTGTAGTGGAGGTGGAGGTGCCCCCGGGGCTCTGCAAGCCCGCGGTGCTTAGGAGTCTGCACCTGTAGCATGCACTTGGGTGACTCCAGGCAGGGTGGGTATAGCAAGCCGGCCCATGCTGAGCCCTCAAGGATGCTGGAAGGGAAGTCAAGGCAGGTTCCTGTAAGAAAGGACAGAACTGCCATGGGGAAGAAGTGGAGCCTGGGCCTTGGGAAAGAAGCCTTCATCAGAACAGAGGAAGAGGACAGGGCAGAGGGCGGCCATGGACAGTGTGACCATCCTCACAGGAAGACGGGGTTCTAAGCCAGCTCTGCAGATACACAGGAGTTGTGTCCAGAGCAGAACTGTGTGGGGTTGTAGGCTCTAGTCAATGACTCTAGTCACAAGGACAGAGGCCTGGAATCATTAAGCAACTCATTTAGGTCACACAGCAATCAATCAGGAGAGCCAGCATGATTGCACGCACTTGTAAGCCCAGTACTCAGGGAGGCTGAGGCAAGAGGTTTGGAAGTTCAGCTCCAACCTGGAAACTTAGCAAGACCCTGTCTCAAACTTTAAAAGGGCTGGAGATATAACTAAGTGCAGAGACCCCCGGATTCTATCCCCAATACTGAAGAGAAAGAAAAAGAAAAAAAAAAAAAAGGCCAAACTTGTAATGAGAGCAGTCTGTTGTTATGTTGTTCGCATTAGCACTTCTGCAGTCAGCCACCAGTTCTGATCCCGCTCCAGCTTACAGTGCTACAGGAGGTGCCCGTGCTCTTTCCTTGGGTGGAGCGAATGGCAAAAACCTGGCAATTCCTATTAAATCCACCTGTGCCTCAGCCGCTGCTCCGCACGTGGAACGCCAGAGCCTGTCGAGAGCTCTCAACTCACTTTCCTAGCACGTGTTTGTGTATTTTTTAAATCTTGAATTTGCTCCTTCAGAGGATCTGAGGTGGGGTTTTCAGACTAGCCTGTGCTGCTTGACCCACGGGGGTGGGGTCTGCTGTTCGCCAGCCCAGGCTGGTCTTGGAGAAAGGAGCTTTTGTGCTAAGAGAGGAAGGCGGAATGGCAACAGCAGTCGTAAGTGCGTGCGGATTGCAAACCAAAGCACGGCGCTTACGCAGAGATGAGTTACAGCTGTACCCGCACGTTCTTCAGAGTGCTTGGGACAGGACGGGTGGACGGCCAGCCGGGTGGATTTAATTCAGAACGTTTCATGGGAGAGTTGGACTGGATATTTGTCTTTTCAAACAGTTCAACCAGAGAGCTACATGCTGGGAGGTTTGTTTGCGGATACTTTCTAGGCAGCCTCATCTCTTGGCCGGGCTCTGTCTTAACTTGACTTCTCCGTTTGGCAGCTTGGTGCTTCCGGTGACCTTGATGCCATCTAGGAGTTCTGCTGTCCCCGCTGTGGGTGGGCCCCAGCATGGCAAGAGGCTCTCCTGGTGGGACTGTTGGGGAAATTCCCCACTGCAGAGAGGCCCCGAGAGGGTGGGAGTGGTGGCCCGGGGTGACATGCATGGGACATCTAGGACATTCTGAATGCAGACGGCAAGGACATCTGCATTCCCACGTTCCGTCCACTCGCCTTTCATCTGAAAGCCTTGAGAGCACCTGCTCTGTGCCAGATGTTCATGCAAGCACTGGGTGAATAGCAGCGAACAGGCTGGACTACATCCTGCCTTTGAGGAGCCTGTGCTTAGAAAGAGGGGGAAACTCGCTTGTCATCTCCACGTCACCCCCAACCCCACACACATACCCAGTCTCCTCCTTATGGTGGAGGAAAGTACTGACTTTATCAGGGAAGACAGACCTGCTGCCTTCCTGGGTCACAGGTCAAGCTCTTGTGTTTCCGGCTCGGTGAGTGGGTAATTAAAAATAACGGCATCATGGAGCAGGAAGTTCTAAGGTTTCCCCTGTAAGTGACCTGGAATCAGACGGACCCGAATCCAAGCAGATGAGAGTGAACTCCAGGAGAGCAGAGTGGTGTGGAGGGAGGAGGGGAGTTGGCTCAGGGCTGAGCTGTGGAAATGGGGCGTGTCTAGAACACAGAAGAGGCCAGCAGTGAGCAGGAGTCTAGAGCATCCCAGGAAGAGAGGGTTTCACAGGAGGAACAGGGCACACGGGACCCAGACTGAAAACGTGGGAAAGAGCGACAACTGTGAACCTGCGGGAGGGAGGGAGGGAGGGAGAATAACTCGAGTCTGACGCTGGAGAGGCTTGGAGACCTCGCGCATGAATGAAGAGGGCTTTGTCTGCCTCAGCAAAAACCCATTGTGGGCAGCTGAGAAGGAGGACTGTTGTCCTTCCCGGGCCCTGAGAAATGCGGGTGGCCAGCACTTTAACTCCCCTTGGCTTTGGAGCTCATTCCCCACCCTTCCAGCAGCCCAAATTTTGCAGGCTTTGTTTTTTTTTTTCCCTTCCAAAGACTCAGAAAGCTTCCTAACGCCCTGCTCAGCCCCTCCCTGTGTCCTCTGACAGCCATCTGAGAGGTTCGCCTGGGCCACCTCCTCCCAGGAGGTAGAGCCCCACTGCAGGCAGGCGGGCGGCTTCAGCCGTGTCCCTTCTGCGGGACAGGACAGAGAGGACCCTGCAGCCCTGCCCCACCCAGCCAGAGGAAGGCCATCTAAAGCCCGCTCGTCCTTGTCCCTACCTGGGGAAGGATGACCCAGAAGGACCTGTCCGCTGAAATCCACTGAGCCGCCTGCGGTTCTCTGTATAGACCACAGTTGGAGATCGGGGAACTGAAGGAAGACACTGGTGGCCACCACAGAGAGCCACAGCAAGGAAGGCCAAGAAAGAAATCCGTGGGGAGGAGCCCAGCGCATGGAGCAGCTCATTCTCACACACCCCAGTGACACTGTCAGGACATCCCTGTCCCACCCCAGACCTGCCCAGTGCCGGCTGCTCCTCATGGTCCCGAACTTCTGGGATCCATTCTTACTGTCACAGGGCACGTTCACCCCACCACCACCACTAATCCTGCCTGCGTCATCACACTTGGCGATGCTCAGAAGCACCCAGCTTGCATTGTTTTGTCCTTCACAACGGAAATGACAGAGCTGGCTGGTCCCTGCACAGGGACTTGATACAAAGGAAGGAGCCTAACACAGTTGCTCCTCGCCCTCTCTCCCCAATCCCTTGAGATCGCCTGGTCCCCATCTCTCCCTGGCCTTGGTCCCCACCCCCATCATTGGCTGTATTGCTCATCATGCTATTGACAGATGTGTCTAACCGGTAGCCCACAGGCTTCTTGTCCTCTTTTTATTTTTAACGTGATAACAAATATTGTAAGAAGAAGTTGTATTCCTTGTATAAATTGACTACACTATATATTTTATATGTGTCCAAGACAATGTCTAAGCAAAAAGGTTGAACACACCTGGTCCACCTCTGATGCTAGAGCCCAGGCAAGACTCTGCGCCCAGCTGTGACTGTGTTCCCGGGGGCGCTGCTCCCGCCTCATGGTGTAGCCATCCAGCCCCCGCAGATGGCCGCTCCTGAGGACCCACCCACTGCAGTCCCCTGACACAGGGACCCAGGGGACCGGGCTCGATGGAGAAAGCGTCTCTCTGGATGAAAGGAAATGCTTGTCTCTTTAAGGTGTGTGCCATCCGGAGTGTGGTGACAAAGGCTGCGACGGCCCCAACGCAGACCAGTGCCTGAACTGTGTGCACTTCAGCCTGGGAAGCGCCAAGACTGGCAGGTAAAGGGCCGGGGCTGCCGCCCGCACACCCCGGAGCCCCGCAGCATAGCACTAAGGTGGCCCATTTCGAACAGAGCCTGATGGCCTGGCTGGGACTTAACACAGTACCCCAGCAAAGAAATCACACTGAAGTGAACCACTGTGGATGTTTTTTATTTTAGTAATTTTTGTTCTAATCGCACAAGTAATACATGCCACTACAGAGAAATCAGACGCAGTGTCGCTCTGGTGGTCACGGTTATAAAAGGCCGTGCATCCACTTGTGAGACAGAGACGGACCACGTTGAGTATGCAGGCCTGCCCACAGGGGGACCGGAAACAAAGGTGACTCTAGGGCCCCGCACCGTCAGCCCCACAGGGCCAGCTGGGCTGCGGTGCCCCTTGGACGGGCTGCAGCCTCTGGCCGAGTGTGGGGTTTTCCTGGCAGCTCCTTAGAAAGCCTGTGGGGCCGAATGCACCCCGAGGAAGGGCACTGGCAGATCCAACCTGAGCCCCGGGCACATAGCTGATAGCCCCGGCTCTGGCTGGCCCCCCTGAGCCTGCCTGCCGTGTGTACTTGTGGCAGGGCCTGAGCTGGTCTGGCTGCTGCTGTCACCATGTTCTCCCGCTTTCCTGCTGGCCTCGCAGCACCTGGCTGTGTATTCCCCCATTTATCAGCGGCCATGTGCCGCACACCCTCCCACGGCAGCCCAGGGTGACCAGACAGGGCACTGGGTGATAGCCCTGAAAGCTGCTGACTGACACACCCACGAGGGCCCAGCGGAGGTGCAGGAATGGCCTAACCAGTATCCTGGGGTCCCCAGAGAGTACACTGAGCACAGCCCACCTCGCTGCCCCATGAGACAGGCTCCTCTTGGCACCCACAGAAGGGTTTTGCCCCAGCCAGGAGTTCCAGAAGTGAAAGACCATCATCACAGTGCCTGTAGAAAGCCAAACATCCCCAGCGCTTCCCAAAGGCAAAGGTGTCCTCGCCTAACCCTCAAGCCTCCAAGGGGTACTTAGGAACCTCCTCTGCACAGCTGCCCTACCTCAGCCCAGCATGGGGGCCAGAGGCCACACAGGGTGCGCTCCAGGCCAGGCCCTCACCCGTGTCTGTTCCACAGGAAGTGTGTGAGCGAGTGCCCCTTGGGCTACTTCGGGGACAAAGCAGCAAGGCGCTGTCGCAGATGCCACAAGGGGTGTGAGACCTGCTCCAGCAGGAGCCCGACTCACTGCCTGTCTTGCCGCCGCGGGTTCTATCATCACCAGGAGATGAGCACCTGTGTGACCGTCTGTCCTGCTGGGTTTTATGCTGATGAAAGTAAGTGACGTGACCGTGGGCGTGAGGATGTACGAGTCAGCTCCCCCTGTCCGGGCTGGTTTCCCCTCTTCTGGGAGACCATTGCTGGCCCTCGGCCTCTCCTGTACTCTGTTCTGACTAAGGACCTTTCACGGGGGAGAGGGACAGTGCTCACGGCCAGGTGTGCTGGCACATGCCTATAATCCCAGCGCTCAGGAGGCTGAGACAGGAGGATTGCCATGAGTTCCAGGCCAGCCTGAAGTACATAGTGAGAACTTCTTCCTCTCACAAAAGAAGGGAAGGAGGGAGGCTGTTACTCCCGGGGAAAAAGAGCTGGGCAGTCTTTAAGACATATAAAGTGATCGAATAACCAGACTCCATAGAGGGGAACCAGAAAGTGAAGTAAGACACATGTGGCAGCCTTTGCAAACACCCGGGCCAGAAGTCCTTCAGAGCAGAGGCGTCTTCATTCCCCTCCCTTCCCAGGCAAGAATCATCCACCTCGGTCCTTGCTGAGCACCAGCGGCGTGCATTTGATGCCGCCTGTGGTCCCCAGGAGGCTGCGCCTAAGATATTACAAGCAGACCTCAGCCTCCAGGCACCTGGTGAGGTGCCAACACGAGTGCCTTAGATAATAACTTAGGTAAATACAGGGGAAGCCGAGGGACCGAGTGTCCCCAGGAGGTGCAGTGACTCCTCATCACTTCCTGCCTCACTGTGTGTCAGCACCAGTCTCCAGCAAAGACCCCTGTGAACTCACTGGAGGGGGCAGTCGGGGGAGGTGGTCAGCAGCATCCAGGCCACCGTCAGGTTTATAAAGATTTGCACCTGATTAAGCTGTACTCAGCAAGCCAGGAAGGGGCTTCAGTTCTTGTTACAGTGAGCAGAACCAGAACATTTCTCCTTGGGAAAGGGATCACTTCTGAGCCTTATGGAACTTTAATTTACTCCAGAAAGGAGAGCTGAGAGCCTGTGATCCAACACCTGAACATGGTCTGGACGTGGCCTCTGGCTGTTTTATTACTGCTTGATCCATGCCAGAGTCAGCGCTGGGAAGAGCTGTCCTACTGAGCTAGCTTGGATTGGATTCTCACCATGCTGCCTTCTTCTCATCTTTCTGTTTTTCTCCAGGTCAGAAACACTGCCTTAAATGCCACCCAAGCTGCAAAAAGTGCACGGACGAACCCGAGAAATGTTCTATCTGCAAGGAAGGATTCAGGTAAGCCCCCACCCCTGAAACCCAGAGAATGTGCGAGTGTTGCTGTTGTTGGTTTTGTTTGTTTTGCAGTATGGCCTTCACACTGAGCTACATCCCAAAAACTTCTTCATTTTTTTCTTTAGAGACAGGGTCTCACTAAATTGCCCAGGCGGAACTCAAATTTGTGACCCTCCTGTTTCAGCCTCCCTGAGTGGTAGGATTACAACATATGCCACCTTGCCTGGCTTAATTTCTTTTCCATTACAGGGGATTAAACCTGAGCCTTGCAAGTGTCCCACCACTGAGCTACCCGCCTCACTCCTTTTATTTTGAGGCAACTTTTCACTAAGTTGTCTGGGCTGGCCTAGAACTCGTGATCCTCCTGCCTCAGCCTCCCGAATAGCTGAGATTAGAGGCATGTGCTAGAATGCCCAGCTAAGTCAATAACTTTTTCTTAGGATATTTTGAATTGTTTGTTTAGCCCACTGAATGCAACCAAAGTACATTTAATGCAGTCAAGCATACATTAGCAGTGACTATCTAGAACTCTGGAAAGCACTCTGTTGAAATCATCCTGGGGACACTCCCATAGCAGAGGGCCTCATGCTGTGCTCTGCACTGGGAGTCAGGGAGACAAGGGGTTGGCCAAAACAGCGCCTCTCACCCACAGGAGCCCAGGAATCACCTGGGCTCCTGCCTAGGGTAGATTGTGATGCGGCAGCTCGGGGTGAACGCTGAGACCTGTGCTTCCGCCAGGCTCCTAGGCGAGGGGCACCGCAGGTCCAGACAGGGTACCGTTTTCACAGCGAGACCCCATGAGGCTGCTATGCACTTCTCTGGCCCAGCCTCTCCCAGTGCCTTAGATAATAACTTCCGTAAGTACAGGGGAAGCTGAGGGGCCAGTATTTCCCCAGGAGATGCAATGGCTCCTCATCACTTCCTGCCTCACTGCATGTTGGCACCAGTCTTCCGCAGAAACCGCTGTGAACTCATTTAATCTTCGCAGCAACTGAAGACATCCATGTAAACAGGGAGATGGGCAGTTTCCCCAGGGCATAGTAGGTTGCTGCCTCAGTGAAGTTGCCTTCAGCCAGACCGTTCTTCCAGGTCAGAGTCCTGCGGGGAAAGAGAGCGCCAAGTACCCGGGAGTCTGCAGGAGGACCCCCAGAGTGACCCGTGACACCTGCTGTCACTTAAACCTATTGGTTGGTCAAAGCAGGTTGGACGAACTGGTCCTCTAAAGGCAAACAGCTGGAAGAGGAAGGAGGCATTCAGGTGGTGGCCGTGGCTTTTGTGTCCCATACCCTGCTGGCCAGGCAGCCTAAGAGTAGTTGTTGCCTCTTTTTGTGGACCCTCATCCCTGGGGTAACTGACATGTCGAGGAGGGACTGTTCCATGGAAATCTTTTCCCAGCAGAGAAGTGCTGGCAAATCCCAGGGAGCCTGTTCTGGCTCCTGTAGAGGGACAGAAAGTCAGATCCTGGGTTCTAGAAATGGGTCCTAGGGAGAAAGTGCCTCTAGGGCAGCGGCCATACTGGGACCGCTCTAGGACCAGCGGTTCCGGCTGTGGTATTTCAGAGAAGCATGCAGACTTTGAAAACATCACAGCCATAATCCACAGCAAGCTTCCTTTTATTGCCCAATATCCTCGTAAGCTGTGACTTCAAATCATTGCTGTCACGGTAAAGCAGTGAGAGAGCAGTCGAGCTCCTGCATCCCAGCCATCCATCTCTTTAGGGGATAAACTCAGGCAGGGCTCGCCGGGGAGCATCCGTTATTAAAGATATGATTTAACAGCTCCGCTTAACGGGCCTGGCACCATAATGAGGATGAGCCTTGGGTGGGTATCCAGCATCAGTGCAGCGGGCTGGCGAGCCTGCAGATACCTCCCTGCTAACTGAAGTATGGGTTACACACAACCTTCTTGAATTCAACTGTTATACTTCTCACAGAACTGAGGGAAAGGTCTTACGTATCTTTACACATTTATTATAAAGGGTGTCACAGAGGAAACAGGTGAACAGCAGATGGAATACACAGGACGAGGTTTGTAAGGGTCCAGAGCACCAGAGCTTGCGTTCCTGTGAGGCTGGGGACATATCGCCCTCCCGCCAGGAAAGCATGCTCTTGATCACTGACCTGGAAGCTCTGTGAATTCTGTCCTTTGGGGTTCTATCCTCCACTGTGGAGACCTGAGTTATTGTATCATTGGCCTTTGGTGTTCAGTTCAACCCTCAGCCCCTCTCCCCTCCTCTGAGGTTGGGGTCCTAGGGCTGAAAATTCCACCCCTCTGGTTATACGGTTTATTCACTTGGCCGCCCACCCCCATCCTCAGGCTAGCCGGAGCCCCCAGCTGTCAGTCCTCTTGTCAGTGCGGGAAAAGACACTTACCACTGCATTGATTCCAGAGGTTTTAGGAGCTGTGTGCAAGATGAAAAGCCAAATATATATTTCTAATTATCAATCACACTACGACAGAAGGATTCCAAGATCTGACAGATGCACCCCAGAGCACCTGTTCGATATGTTTAGTGGCAAACCCATTTAAAATGTGTGCATCAGATACAGTATAATCTTGGAAACTAAAGAAATCATGGTAGCTGACATTTCTGCCAGACAACAGTTTCATGTATTTGCTTAGTGAGCGCCCCAAGCACCGTTAAGCTATAGGAGCCAGTTAGCAGGAGGACGTGGAGGTGTGGAGAGGTTTGCTGGCTTGCGTGGGGTTGCACGGCTGCGAAGTGGTGGAGCCAGACCGGGCGTGGGTGGTCTAGCTCAGGCTGTGTCCCGGTGTTGCCTGGCTGGAGCAAAGAGAGGGTGGATTCTGATGGGGTGGAAGAGGAAGGTGGGAGCCACATCAAGCAGGCCTGCCAGGTCCCAGAAGGAGATTCTATTTCAAGTTCACAGTGGAGCCCAGAAGTCTTCCGGCACGGGAGAAGCAGACACAGACGTAGGCCTGAGGGTCAGGCTTGTGGCTGACACCCGCTTTGCACACCTCCCGCACTGCAAATGCTGACGCTTCTAGGGGGACTCCGATTAGAGGACTGCGCCAGCACGGCTCCCGTGGTACCCCACAAGCTCTATTTCTCCTTTTGGGCTTCAGATTGGGTTTGGACACAGCAGTGCAGAGAAGCCAGCACAGAGAAGGAGAGAGCCTGAGGCCTTGGCCTCCTGTACCAGGACCAAAGCCCAGGATCTCCAGCTAGCTCCAGGACAGCTTTGCCAGCTCCCATTGGCTGGGATTCTTCAATGACACAAAGCACTATGCTTCAGCAACTTTCATTTCCTCCCAGAAAGGTGTTTGAGGACAAAATAGAATTTAATTAGACTTTTGAAACAGATGTGGGAACTCGCCTCTTTTTCTTCTGAACAGTCTTGCACGGGGCAGCTGCATTCCAGACTGTGAACCAGGCACCTACTTTGATTCTGAGCTGATCCAGTGTACAGAATGCCATTCCACCTGCCGGACCTGTGTGGGTGAGTTCATGGCCTGCAAAGGCCTTTGTTTCCTTAGAAAGTTACAACCAGAGTTACCAAGACTGGCTATCTTGATACTATGAAAGCTTCTTACGGCTGTCTATGTTTATTACAGCATCGAAACACAAAAGCCAGGGGCTACAGGTGTGATAGAGGGTTTGCCTAGCATGCACAGAACCCCAGGTGTGGTCCCCAGCACTGCAGGGAAAAAAAGGAGAGGGAGAGAAGAAAAGAAAAAGAGCCGGGCGTGGTGGTGCACACCTGTAATCCCAGCACTCGGGAGGCTGAGGCAGGAGGATTGTTGCGAGTTCAAGACCAGCCTGGGCTACAAAGAGAGCTCAAGGCCAGCCTGAACTGCATAGGGAGACCCTGTCTCAAAAAGACAAAAAAAAAAAAAAGAAAAGAAAAAGAAAGACTATAAAAACAAAGGCCCTCCCAGGGCTGGGGATGGAGAAGGAGGAGTTATTTTTTAATGAGTACTAACTTTCAATTTGGAAAGAAGGAAAATGTCCTAGAGATGGACGGTAGTGATGGCTGCACAGCATTAATGTCACTAAACTCTACACTTAACTGGCTAACATGGCCGAGTGTGGTGGTGTGTGCCTGTGACCTTCAGCTTATGGGAGGCTGAAGCAGAAGGGTCACAAACTGAACACAGCTTGAGCAACTTAGTGAGCCCTTGCCTGGAGGAGAGAGAAAGAGAGAGAGAGAAAGAGAGAGAGAGAGAAAGAGAGAGAGAGAGAGAGAGAGAGAGAGAGAGAGAGAGAGAGAGAGAGAAAGAGAAAGAAAGAGGGAAGGAGGGAAGGAGGGAGGGAAGGAGGGAGGGAGAAGAAAAAGATCTGGGATGTAGTCCTATGTAAAGGTCCTGGATTCAATCCCCAGTGCTGTGAAAAAACAAATGTCTAAAATGGCAAATTTAGTATGTCCCTATTTTTAAATTGAAAACAAAAGACAATCAAAAAATGCAAGGGGCTTGGGATTTAGCTCAGCACCTGCCTAGCAAGCACAAGGTCATGCGTTCGATTCCCAGTACCGAAAACAAAAACAAAAACAAAAAAAATGCAAAGGCTCTCTTTGAGCAAGGGACGTTTAAGCACCGTTTATCCCCGTGGGAAAGCAGCCATTGACTGGCTTGGTTCTGATGCTGGGAAGCCCAGGCTGCTTGCTGGAAGGCAGTCTTACCTGGGGCTCTAATCTCACCACCAAACTGCACTGAAAGGTGGAACCATGAAGCCACGGAGCCTCCACCATGGGCAAGGATGGATCCGGGTGGGGATGGCGACGTTTTAAAGCACACCCTTAGTTCTTTGTAGCACTCTTCACTTATCTTGTACATTTTATTCAAAGAGGAAATGTGTGCTATAAACAATTTTACATGCACTATAATTCCCCACGAAGATTATAGCACAGATGTCTCCAGGCAGGGTTTCTATGCGGAATATATCAGAGATTTCTTTCATTTGATTGGGCTTCGTTTTGCAGTCATCTGCACAAGTTGATTGAAACGCACCTTGAGTTTGTGGCCTCGGACACATTTCAGGTGACGTCTCCTCCTCAGTCCTCCTTCCTGCCCCTGGCACTTTGGCTCATTCTAACAAACCCACCTTAGACTGCGTTTCTGCTGCACTAACATTTGAAGTCACAGGCGCCACGATACCATTCACTGGAAATGCCCCAGGCTGGACGCAGCCCTCTGCAGCACAGCTCTCTGGGCCCTGTGTAGCTGTCAGCTGTGCTGCCAGGGGTGAACGTGCCAGAGAAGCCAAGGGTGCGGCAGCATCCCCAGCGCTGCCCCCAGGCCAGCTGTGGGAGGTGGGCATCCCCCGTACCCTTTTGGGACAACGCGGAAGCTGCTGGGCTTGGTTTTGGAAGAGTTCCCACTGGGGGCCGCTGGGCAGCTTTCCTAGCACTTTTCCTTGTTGTCTTCTCCTCTGTGGCTTTTACTCTTCTTTGACGGATTGTTTAACCCAGGTTGTCTAAGAAGCATTAGATTTCACTTATTTAAATGTCAGAGCCACTTGAATTCATAACATCCAGGCATGTTTTATTTTAGTAACTCACTTCACTTCTTTCTCCAACTGTCCAGACTGCCGGGCAGCCAACAGCTTTCTTGAGTCCTTTGTAGATTTTCTCATCTCAATCTGTGTCTTCCTCATCCCTTCTGGCGTTCAGCTCCACAGGGTGCAGAGGCGTGTTCTCCATGCCTCTGTGCCCTCCAGCCTGGCTTCTTCCTGACCTCTGGGAACACAAGCAGACTTCTGTTCCCCACTCCACGTCACCTGGAAACAAAGGTCTTGTCCCACATCAGTCCCGGGTCCTATTAAAAGCACCAGTTCTCAGCTGCCCACTCACTGCCCCTTGCACACTTAAGCTTGCCTGGCCCCCACCTTCTGCCTTCCACTCGCAGTGTCACCTGCTGCCTACCACCTGCCCTGGAGCCTCGGCTTGGTCATGGGTCAGGGTCAGGGTCAGGGTCAGGGTCAGGGTCAGGCATGAGCGCCGGTGGCATTGAGCGCACAGTGCCCTAGCACATTCAGTAGGTGACCTCATGGGAGTGAGCCTCTGTTCATCTCAAGTGCCAGTGCCCAGTGCTTCCTAGCATGGAAGTCGTAACCCCTGTGGATCACCTGGGCACCCTTGGTTGACACAGTAGACTCACACTGGGTCCACCTACCCGTCCAAGAAATGGGCATTGGTTGGCAGCTGGCAGCCGCCTGCATGCTAGGTTGAGGACCAATGCCCTGCAGAGGCAATGTCCTAGGCCCCTATGAGGGTCAGCCCTGGCACGTGGGCATCCTGTGCCTGCAGAAGCACAGCACGAAATAGCAAATTAAAAAACCTCGTGACAGGTCCAGAGAGAGCTTCTAGAAGCAAAGAAAATGTTTTCTATCTTCATACCTGGGACAGCATGTTTTTCTTGCTTTTTGACAACATGGTGTTTTGTTGTTTTGTTTTGGTTTTTTTTGCTTTTTGACAGCATGTTTTTCTTGCTTTTTTCCCTTTGTTCTGGGCCCCATGAATGATGCAACATGGTGGCTTAGCAGAAGCATAACCATTTTGCTCTCGCTGTTCCGTCTGTGGGCGCTTCTAAAGTGGTGAAAGCCGGAAAGATTTGTGACTTAATGGAATCCTGGAGAGACTTCGACTGAGTCATAAAACTCATAGTTTTAGTAGCTCTGAAAAGAGTTTGCTTAGAAAATGTGTATTTAATCAGCATTTTTATTGTGGCAGAATGCACACAGCATAACATTTACCGTATCAACCATTTTCTAAAATGTTTTAATTGACATAATAGTTGTCCTTTCTTAGGGGGTGCAGTATTGTAATGAAATACATGTATCCAGTGTGTAATGATCAAATCAGGGAAATTAGTATTTCCATCCCCTAAATACTATCGTTTTTATGGTAATATTTCTCTTGTACTTAATGGTTGCTCTTGGCTGTTGTCACCCTGTTGAGCTACAGAACAGTAGAACTGGTTCCCCCTCTAACTGTGTTCTGGCACCCATCGTCCACCCTCTTGCTAACCACCTGCTGTGACCATTTGTAGGTGTACACTTGAAGGACATCCACTTGGTTAGGCAGTTGTCGCCACTATCCACCTCCAGAGCTTCTTCATCATCTTCTCCAATTGAATGTATAATCTCCTTTTTTTTTCAGTGCTAGGGCATCAAACCTAGGACCTCACATACGCTGAGCAAGCTCCCTACCACTCAGCTGTGCCCCCAGCCTATAACCAATGTTTTATAAATTCTAATTATCACGTATTAATTACACACATTAACAGGTTTCAACACAACCTTTCCAAACATGCATACTGAGGTTTTTCAGTTTAATAGTTTGAGCAGCTCTGAAGCTGGGGTATAGCTCAGTGGTAGAGGGCTTGATTAGCACATGCAAGCCCTTGAGCACCAAAAGAAAAAAAGTCAAACAAAAATTTCATTCAAAGTAAGTACAAACAAGAATAGGCATCCTTGTACCCCACAGAGGCTCCTCAGGCATCAAGGACCCTGGTGTTGAAGGAAGGACAGTGACAGGGTTCCAGAGGACAGGAGCCAGGAGAGGCACAGCGGTGCATGCTATTCAGGCCCTGGGGTCCAGCACAGAGTGCCAGCCCCTCCAAGTGCACTGGGCACTCAGGTCACCTTGGCTGCAGGCATTCCCTGGAGATCAACATGCAGATTAGAGCGTGGCCAACGCCTGAGACCAACTAACTGCCCATCGACAGTGTAAACCAGACAGAATCCCCAGTGGGTCGGGGCCAGTTCTCCAACCACATGCAGAAGAAGGACCTCTCACAGAAGCTCTGGTCTGTTATGGAGGCCCCATCACCCCAGAGGGCCCCACTTCTGCCTCCAGCTCACAGTACTTGGGCCTCTTCTTCCAGGCTCTCCCGGGAGGAGCTTAGCTGCACCCCCAGGGCCCCAGAACCATGAAAAGGCTCTTTCCTTGACACAGAGCGTCCCCACCTTAGTCTAGTTATTCCAGGAAGAGGTGCTATCACTGCATTAGGTGTCAGACCACAGTCTAAGATCACACTCAGATTAAAAGGAGGCCAAAAAATGGGTCAGGGGACTGTGACTAACACAGAACAACTCTATTATTCCAATTTCTGTTACTATAACAAAATACCTGAGGCTGGACACTTATGAAGAAAAGAGGCTTATTTAGCTCACAGTACTGGAGGTCTAAGAGCATGGTCCCAGCACAGGCCCAGCTTTAGGGAGGACCTTGTGGCATGTGGAATCACAGTGGCAGGAGCCAGAGAAGGGGAGGGGCCGGTGATGACCCCTCAAAGGCCCCAGCACCTCCCAGCACCAGCTCACTGAGGACCAGGCTCCCAATACGTGGGCCCATGAAGCACATGGGAACATGCTTACACCACACCCAAACCATGGCAGCATCTGAGATCATGCCCTCCCCTCACAGGCCACTAAGGCTGACCGAGGCTGACAAGCTCACTGACTCTAGGCCAAGTCCTGGGGCTTCCTCCGCCTCCCTGCACCCTTTTGTGTGGTCCTGGGATAGACCCTACAGCAGTGGTGGAGTACCTGTGGCACCTTTTCTTTTAAGACAAAAGATGTTAGTGTATGAGTTGTTGTTTTCTAAACCAAAACCTCAGTATTCAGGTTTAACTGCAGTGTTGGCACTTGGCGATGAATAAGTGGGTTTGGGGTTGGAGTTTGGACACTCAGCTCTAAAAGGTTTGCCATCGCTGAGCTACAGCCTTCGCACCGAGCTACAACCTCAGACTTTTGTTTTAAAAGAGAGGATCTCACTAAGAGAAAGTTTTAGTGACAAATCTTCCCCAAGTGGACCTGAAACTTACCATCCTCCTGCCTCAGCCTCCCACAGTGCTGAGACGATAGGCACCCCGCCCCCCTTTCCATACCTCTTGATCCTTCATCAAATTTTTTGTGTCTTCAGGCCACTTGTCCCCATAAGACCTTAGTCATGTTTTCTCTTATGAAAATGCCCTGCTCACCCACACCAGATACCTTTCATCACCTCCCTAAAGATCTCTTCTTTCCCTTTCCCCACTTCATCCCCCACAGCATCTGCCCTTAGAACTACCACAACGCAGGCCATAAATGCAAATCGCAGATGCCAGCTTTAGCTAGCCTAGTGTTATGGTTTGTGTCTGGATGTCCCCTCAAAGCCTCACGCAGTCATGGGGTGGGTTGCTAGAGTTTATGACTGACTTGTGGTCCAATGCTGGGACTGGCGGTCTGAGTGCTACACCCGCCCTGGGGCAGGTAGCCTGCATACAATAGAAGGGAGGGGGAGAGGCTAACTGGCTGGTCCTCCCTTCTGCTCTTGCTGCTTTTGCTGTTTTCTGCCGCTATGACCTGTTGCCCTCTGCCGTGTGCCACTCTGTCTTGCAGCCAGCCGAGTATGGACTGAAACCTCCACAAACTGTGAGCTAAATAAATCTTTCCTTCCTTAATTTTGGGCATCAGGTATTTGTCTCAGCAATGAGAGAAAAGTAACCAATACACCTAGTGACCACATCTTACAAAGTAAAAAGGAACAGGTGAAAATAGTTTTAGTGACAAATCCTCCTTACCCCAATGTATCTAAGACAGCATGCATTGATATTTTTGAGCTATTTTGCATTCTTTTGGCTACCAAGACTTTGAAAGCCAGTGTGTGTGTGTTCCATGCCTGCAGCACATCTCTATTTGTCCCTGAGGATGATGAGTGGCTCCAGCAGAAGGAGGGCCTGAGCCTGCTGGGAAAGGAAGTGTTTGGAATCAGCCACAGCATAGGTGGAAGTGTGCTCTCCAGGGAGACCAGCTCATGCCTCCGCTGACCTAGCCAGGAAGTGGGAGTGGTGATGGCCACCCCCTTGGAGTCAGTGAGCGTGTGGGACATGCCAGCTGTGTAGGTGGCCTAGGCATCTGAAGAGCACCATGGTTGTCACCGGCACTGGAGCAGGCCCAGGGCATGACCATCAGTCCTGACCCCCGCTTCTTTCCTGTACCCTCAGGGCCCAGCAAAGAAGAATGTATTCACTGTGCAAAAAACTTCTACTTCCAAGACTGGAAATGTGTGCCAGCCTGCAGCGAGGGCTACTACCCTGAGGAGATGCCCGGCTTTCCCCACAAAGTGTGTCGAAGGTACAGTCTTCTGGGCTCCGACCTGCACTCTCGGAGGTGGCAGTCTGCTACATCTGGTGGTGGAGTGGCCAGAGAGCCGTGTAAGGTGGCACCTTGTGGGGAACCTGGGGAGCATGTCACTCCACTACTGTGCTGTGGTGGGTAGACAGGGACCCATTTGCCAAGAATGGGGTGCCTGCAGCTAATGATTGCCAAGGTTACGAGCTAGTTGGTAGCCTACATGCCTTTGTTTATTTAACGCATATGTATTTGTTGAGCACCTACTGTGTGCCAGGCACTAGGGAACAGTTGGGATGGGATAAGAAACAGAATAACAAGGTGCTTGCCTTGTGGTAGGCTGCACAGGTTGGTCTCACCCATGCCACTGCACAAGATGCCTTCATGCTGTTGATAACCAAGACCACCACACTTGGGAGTTTAAAACAATTCTCAGGCAGGTATTTAGAGAAAAGTTTAAAAACGCTAAGTGTCTTCTTATTGTAAAGCCACTTCCAGTGCAGTCGGTGCACATGCATTTTAACCTTCTCCTCTTCCGTCCCTCCCAGGTGTGCATGTGGTGTCTCTGGGCCATGTAGTATTTCCTTTTGCTTTTGGACACTGGCCATTAAAAGAGAAGCCATGGGCCTTGGTCCCCCTGTCTTGCTGGCAATTGCCCCATGACAAAACATCATAACCCAGACCCAGGGCTCAGGGTGACAGCAGCAATGAGCTTGCAGGTGACAGTGGAATGCAGCTGTGGTGGTGGGGTGGGCTGTGAGGGAAAGAGGGAGAGACCTTTCTGAACTAGACTTGGAACACAGGAGGGGTGGGGGGCCATGCTCAGCTTCCTGCTCCCAGTGGGGAACCTGTCCACGGAGTCTGCACCCAGGCCACATTGAGAACTGCTCCAGGTTGTCCCAGATTCCCTTAAAAACAAACAGCTGTGGGGCTGGGGAATTAGCTCAGCAGCAAAAGTGCCTGCCTGCCAAGCGCAAGGTCGTGAGTTCAGTTCCCGGTACCGGAGAAAAACCAAAAAATAACAAACAAACAAACAGCTGCACAGTGAGCCAGTGAAAGACCCCAAGGCCTTGCACTTGTGTCTGCAAGGTCAGCTCCTCTATGGAGGCTGATTTGCAGGGAGAAACTGATCACTGCCTCACGGCCAGCTGAGTCCTGTGCAAGATCCCCAGCACAGCTGTAAGAAGGAAACCTATTTTCCCCGGCCAGCTGGTTTCCAGATAATTAAACTAAGAATGGCAGCCCAGAGAACTTGGAACTAAATGGGGACGCTCACTTCCATTTGTCAAATGCCCTGGATTCCAGGGGATGCCGATGTACCCACAGCTATGGTAACCAGACCACTGGGCAGCACCCAGAGGGCATGGTGTCCCCAGCCATCAGGAGACAGGAGATGGGCCGTCTCCACAAGCCCTTCTTGGGTGTGGGGTGTAGACTCCTGATGGGAGTGGCCCTGACAGAAGTGTGGGGAGAAGGTGGCTGTACGCCCAACTGCCCTTGCAGCCTTTGGCAGGGCAAAGTTGGCATATTGTTCTGGGGATGAAGTAGGTACAACAGAACCAGAGGCATCTAGAAAGCCCCTGCCCAAGACACCAGCTGCCAGCACAGTAACCCTGGGAAGCAGGGGCCATGAGCACTAGCGAAGATAACCCCGTTTCTAGGGCAGCATGATGCTGGGTTCTTCTCCCAGGCTTCTAGGTAAGAGCCCAGGCAGGGCACCATCATACCCTGAGCCAGGAGGCCCCACGCAAAGAAACCCAGCTGAGCCCATCGGGGCTTCTGCCTACAGAACTGGGAGCTGAGCTATAAATGATTTTGTTGGCAGTTTGTGATGCTGCAATAGGAAACAGAGACACCTGCTACCCCGGTTAGTTTGGTGAGGTTGTACCTGAACGAGAAAGGACGATATCACCAACTGCTTCTCTGTGTAGCCCTCTCCACACCATAGTCATTCATAGCCAAAGCAACCCTCAGCCTCAGCCTGGGAGTGCCGGGCCCTGGGCCTCCTGGACAGCTAACATCCATGATGGGCTAGGCTCAGTCCCAGCTGCCATACACTGGTGTGTGTGTGTCTATAAGAGATGCCAGAACACCTACAGTGAAACATCATGCCCTGTGCGGTGGCCCTGGGGCCCGCTTCTGGGCCATCAGGAGGAGCAAGGACTTGTATTGGGAGACAACATGACAGGAGCCAGACCCCAGTGCCCCCGCGAAAAGTGCACAGGAAGTAGGATCCCCCATGAGCCCCCAAGCCCCCTGCTCTAATCCTCAGGCAAACTGCGAATAAAAAACAACCTCTCATCCTGTTTGAGGGGTACAGCAGCGGAGCCCCCTGGCCATATCAGTTCCCGTGGTGGCAGGGAGGGGTGCTCTCGGAAGACGCTTGTGAGGAGGCTGGTTGTTGATCTGGTGCTGAAGACCACCCAGGGGGGTGGAAGGCCTCTGTCCTGAGTGCGGAACCCGCAGGGCAGGCTCAGGCGTCGCTGAGCCCGGCTCCTGCCCTGCGCACACCCTCTGAGCTCCACCTGCAGGGCCTGATCTCCTCTTAACTGGCAGCCGTGGGCAAGCTGGGCAGCGTATGGGAGCACAGTGGACACCTGGTCCCTGCAGCTGGACAAGCCAGCAGGTGCAGGGCAGGGCACTGGTCCCAGGGCGAGGTGTTTCTGTAAAGGGCCAGGAGAGAAGTAGCTCAAGCCTTGGGGCCCCCTGCCTCCACCCCAGCTGCTCAGCCCGCCACTGCAGACCGTGTGTCAATGAGCATATGTTCCTGTGAAACTCCTGGCCGTGGGCCTCAGCCTTGGTACACAGCCTGTCCCGAGTCATGGTACTGTGCATTAGCAGGAGTCCTGGGCCCCACCCGGGGCCAGGACTATCCAGGAAGGATGGGAAGCGTAAGGGCACCCTCACCTCCTTGGGGTAGGGGGCATGGCAGCCAGGGATACTCCATCCTCAGGTCAGCTCCACTCTCCGGTTTGTCACCTCCCTGGGTAGAGTCTGGCCCTGACCCCACCCCTACAGCCACTGCAGCCAGGCGGCTTCCGGAGGCTCTGGGAGCCTCATGGGCTGGGGGAGGGTAGGCACCAGTGTCCAGGTGAGACACAAGGATCCTGGAGGCCTGCCCTTCCCTCCACTTCTGGCCACGTTCCTGCCATCTGGCCATGACTGGCTTTGCCCCCCTGGAGCAACAGTGAGGTCAGACAGGGCGAAGGACATGCCAGTGCATGAGCTGTGTCTCGGGGCAGCCTGGGGGACACGGCTGCAGCCTCCTACAGAGCACCAACCTTGAGGGTCCAGGGCAGGGGAGGAGTGATGTGCAGGAGGTAGGAGGGCTCTGCACAGGGCCCCAGAGGGCTCAGGCCTCTCCCCAAACCTCAGCGGGAGCCTGCATCTCCCCACAGGTGTGACGACAGCTGCCTGAGCTGCGAGGGCTCCAGCCGGAACTGCAGCAGATGCAAGGCAGGCTTCATGCAGCTGGGGACCTCGTGCATCAGCAACCTCACGTGCAGCAACGGTGAGCACCAACGTGACCTCTGCAACGGCCAGGAAAGCACAGCCCACGGGCCTGTGGTCCAAAGAGAAAACAAGCATGGCAAGCCCCTGAAGTGGGGTGCTTGACTGACCTGACTGACCATCTAAGGCTCCCAGAGGCCTCTCACACACTGACTAGGGAGGCATCGTAGCCACCAGCCCAGCCACTGCTTGTCAGTTTGCTGAGTGACTCTTAAAAATGGTTTCGCTCTTGTGCCGTTCCCACCCTCACGTCACAGGCCCCAGTAGCAGCCTCCCCATAGGAGAGGTCTGACCTCAGGGATCAAAGCCAGGAGGTCTGGAGGGTCTCGGCCTCAGAACTAAGAAGACAGAACCGGGAGCTGAGGTCTACTCTCAGCAACAGGGATCCGAGCTCAACACAGAGAACCCACATCCAGGCTGTGGACAAGCCCTGGTTCTCCAGGTGGATGGGGCGGGGGACACAGGATGGGAAAACAAGCTCAGAAGGGGACAAAAGACAGTGCCCAACTTGGGGACTCCAGGCAAGAGGAAGGGTTGGCAGAGACTCTGTCCTGGAGACCTGGTGCCGGGGGTCTTAGCAGGTGGGCTGTAGCAGGACCACATGGCTCAGCAGGTGGCAGGGAGCAGCCCCCCGGGACTGGCTCTGGGGACCGCATACTGACTCGCAGGAGCAGGAAGCCACAGGCTCCATGGTGTCCTGGCATGAGCCGGCACTGCCCTGCCTAAGACAAAGTATAAGGTGGCCTCTTTGCCTTGTTGTGGGTCTCTTTTTGGTTTATGGGATTATGTTCCTTCACAAGCCAGGAGGCTTCCTGTTTAGGAAGTCAGCTGCTTAGGCTGTGTACCCACCCAAGAAAGTGGGGTTGCCACAGAGCTCCAAGGTCACACGAATGACTGTGCTTCCTAATGACAAGGCAGTAGCCCAGGCGCCAGCACCCACTGCTGGTCCCCTCACCTGCAGCTCTTCCATTACTGAGACCTGTCTGTCTGCCTTGATGTCCCCACTGCATCCTGTCCCCTCCCCTCCCTGTCTGGAGTGTCCCTTCGACAGGTCCACATGTGCACCAAGGGCCCCACTGGCCCATCCTGGAGAACCCACACCCCCCTTATCTCTTACACCTACCAAGAGCCCCCTGTGTACCAGGAACCACCTCTCCAGGGAGGCATATCGCAGGAAGGGGACTCTGCATGTCCTCTGTGTGGCACATAATCAATGTCCAGCAAGTGTGGAACAACTCAATCTTAACAGTCTCCAAAGTCTGACTTTTCTCTTCCTTCCCCCAGCTGATGAGACCTTCTGCGAGATGGTGAAGTCCAACCGGCTCTGCGAACGGAAGCTCTTCATCCAATTCTGCTGCCGCACATGTCTCCTGGCTGGGTAGAGGCACCGGCTGCCCGCAGAGGACAGGGCCCCTCCTGTCCATCCATCTGTCCATCCACCTTCCTCCAGACTGTTGACCAGAGCCTGTTCCAGGGGCGGTGCCTCGCATCTGACAGCTTTATCTCCCTGGGGGCCAGGTCCTCCCTCAACACCTCCAGGCACCCAAGCTGGGGGGCAGGCCCTGAAGGATGTGCTCCTAAAGCAGTGATGGCTGTCCAGCTTGCTGCCTGCTGTCTCCTGGCAAGCTCAACATGGTAACAACATGAATTCGGAGAATCTACAGCTCCAGCTTCAGGTCCTAAGTTTACTGAATCTTCAAGACCAAAGCAGAAAGCAAAGATACTTGGCATCTCGGATCGCCCTCCTCCCGTGCTGTTGTGCGACTCGGGTGTAAATCTTAGCAGACCAGCCAGCAGGACCCTGGGCTGTCCTCCTTCGTGATCAAGGCTCCAGCAACCTCCCTGTGCATTGCCTGCTGCCTGCCACTGAGCGGCCTGGGGGACCGATCGGTCAGACTGTAAATAAAATAGATTTCGGGGCATAAAACACATGACCACTGGGGATGGAATCAGTTTCTACGCAGCCAGCTCCTCTGGAAACTGCAGAAGCGTCTTAGAAAGTCCACTGCCAAACCCAGATCGGAAGGTTCTCCCTGTTTCTGCAGCATTCTCCTCTGAGGGAGCCGAGCTGTCCTCCTGTGTTCTGGAGTCTCCTGGGCCTGAACAACCACCTTGACCTGATGCAGAACCTTCGGAGGAGGGTCCAAAGGCAGCTCTCGGGGCTACCCAAAAGATGCCCTGATCACAAGCAGTTCCTCTTAACAAAACGTAAAGCCAGCCCACGAGTCGTTGGTCATCCATCCCCTCCCATTTTACAGAATTGCTTTTACAACACATGTGGCCTCCGTGCTTCAGGAGACTTGCTCTCAAGGTGGCTGTCCTGTGTCTATGTATAGTCTAAGCCTACGTGACACAGCTGGATTTACTTCTGCCAAACCCGTGTAGGCATTTTATAAGCTACGTGTTCTAATTTTTACCGACGTTAATTATTTTGACAAATATTTCATATATTTTCATTGAAATGCACAGATCTGCTCGATCAATTCCCGTCAATAGGGGAGTAACATTTGCCTTAAATTTTCTCGACCTCGTCTCTCTCCATAGTGTCCTGCTTCCCTCTTTGACTGTAATGCGTTTGCCTTGTCACCTGTGAGCTGGACAGAGCCCAGCAGTTGTCTATTGAATCCACAACTCCGAGGAAGAAATCAGCGAAGCAAAAACAATGTTAACCCTAAATTAATAAAAGAGTTAACATCCACGGCAGAGGAGACTGTATTTCTTTGCAAGGCACAAAACGTTAAACCTAGGTGCTGGCCAGTAGGTCAAATGGACATCGCTTTGTGGTTTGGGGATCTGTTGTTTGTCTTGTTTGCAGTATTCACAGTTACACCCGGAGCCTTTGCACTGAGCCACATCCTTTTTTTTTAACTTTGAGACAGAATCTCACTAAGCTACCCAAGCTAGGCTGGAACTTGTGCTCCTCCTACTTCAGCCTTCTAGAGTGCTGAGAATACGGCCGTGTATCATCAGGCTTAGCTCCGAATCGGTTTGTCATTAGGGCGAAGGTTTCCTCTAAGCTTTAGCAAATGCTAACATAAGGAAGTAACGGGGAAATGCCAAGCTTCCAACTCTATGGTGTCCTTTGGCAAAGAGATCCTCTTTGGGCCACCAAAGCCCAGTTGAGTGGAAGGGTCGAGCTCCCAGGTATGGGATCGTCCTCCCTCTGTCAAAGGGGAGCCCTCCACATCCTAGAGCGGTCGCGGCAAACCTAGGGCACACGTGCAGCCGGCTGTTTGTTATCACTGAAAGCTCTAAAAGGTCAGCATCGCTGTGTGAGCCTCATACCGGCAGCAGCAGAGCATGATTTAATTGGGTTACAGCTTGTCTGTTGTACAGGGACTGAACTCCCTGCACCCGTGGGTCACGTGCCTTGTGGGATTTCTAGCATGGCTTTTCCGTGAGGTCAGAAGCCTGTACTCCTTAGCATCCTTTAGCTGCAGGTAGAGGAGATGCACCAACTAGAACTGACTTAGGATAAAACAAAAGCAAGTGAAGGACATTGTCTTAGGAATCCCGGGTTTGGGGGGTTCAGAATTTCAGGCAGGCTGTGGCAGGGCCTGGGAACCCCGGGGTGAGCTTTAAATTTGGATGTGGTTTGCGCAGCAGCAGTGCCTTCTCTCTTCAAAGGCTGTTTCCCCAGTTGATGAGACAAATGACAAGGCCACCACCATCTCTCCCAGAGCCCAGCCCCTACAGCAAACTTCCTGGGTGGGTTTCTTGGCTCTGCTGCTCCCAGGACAGGACTCTGGGGAGCCTGCCTTGCATTGGTGCTCATCAGTGCCTCCACGGTGGCCCCAGAGACGGGCACGAGCAGCAGAAGGTGGCTGGAGCTCTGTGCCAAAGGGAGAGAGATGAGCAGCAATCAGGAAGGGAGGCCGGCCACACAGCGGGACACAGTCCACCTCGAGCACAAACTGACAGAGTTGGGAAAGCAAGACAGTGAAGGCATATGTTTGGGACACTGTCAGCAGGACTAGGAAAGTGTCCGTAAGGAGTCCACCTCCCCCAGGAGACTGACACCTAATTAAAGCCAGCAATTTACTAAGTACTCCTGGTGCAGGGCACCATGTTAGCCCCTAGAACCTGATATTAATAAAAACCAGTTCTTTGTCCATTGAGACCTTGCAGTTGCAGATGCTTACAGCTGAATCAGGGGGAAGAAAGAAAAACCCTCCCTTTGTATCTGAAAGAACACCAATTACAAGAAGCCAACCAGGCCGCCTTGAGAGCAACTGCCCTCATTGCTGTGGTTCGGCCAGCCCACTGCCGGGCTCCCCAGTGGGGTGGGACATTGAGATGCTACTGACAAAGTGCTCAGGACAAAATGCCACCACGTAAAAAGGGGCTGACCACACAGGCTGTCTGTTTACAAACGGCCCAACCTCAAGACGAAGATTCTCTAAAGTTGGTTGGGCAGGATATGTTTATAGATTTCGTTCTAAGTGACAGGATCATGGGTCATCTCTGAATGGGTCACTGCACAGACAGGACACTGGCTCACAGGGGTGAAGTGACTTGCCTTAGGCCCACACTGGCAAAACTGCTTCCATTCCTGTGCCCAGGGAGGAGGTTGGCTTTCTGCCCAAGAGCGTCGCTCTGCAAGTGACCGACACAGCCATGTACATTTTAAAACTTAATTTCCAGGAGGTGACATTCTGGTGACTTTATCCCCAATTTCTTTGGCACCTCACAGGAAACATCCCCACTGCTCATAGGCCAAGGCAGACTTCACACTGTGTGACTCTTCCAGGGTCTAGGGAGAATTTCACTTGTATAGAAGACACACTGTTAATGGGAAGGCAAGTGGACAGAGCTTTTAAAACTTAAAGGAAAACACGGTCTAAATGTAGCCGGAAGGAATGTGTCCTTGAACTTGGGGACAGCACTGTCTGTTGATTTTGCATCGGTAATATGGTCAGAGGGCTTCTTATGTCAGATTGGGGTATGTCAGGGTGCCTAAGGCAGCAGAGGGTGGACATTGAGAAAGAAGGTAGAAAGAGGTGGAGGATTAAATAAATAGAAGGACATTTTAGTAAGAACAAGCAAGGGTGATGGAAAGTCGCATATCACAGCCATTCTCCGGCATCTCAAAGTTCTGTGCAGCCAGCCGGGGGCTCAGCAAAAGGGCCAATCAAATAAAGCCAGCTCTCCGATCCAAGGACTCCACCTGGTGGCCCCCTCTGGCATGAAGCGAAGTTGACTGGGTGTTTGGTTTGGTAGGTGTTTGGTTTGACGTTGCTTTCTGTAGTCCAGGCTGGCTTTGAACTCCTCCTCCAGATCTGGCTAATGAAAATTTTTTGTTTGTTTGATTGATTCTTGAGACAGGGTCTTACTCTGTGTTCAACTTGCCCTTGAACTCAGTATGTAGTTTAGTCTGTTCTCGAACTGGCAGGCCTCTGCTTCTTGAGTGCTGGAATTACAGGTGTGCAGTACCATGCCTGGCCTTTTGTCATCATGCTGAGCACAACATTTAACTTTTATTTTTTTTCCTGCAGGACTGGGGATTGAATCTAGGCCTTGGGCATACTACACGAGTGTTCCATCACTAAACTCCACCCTCCCCCTCTGGCTTTATTTTATTTTGTTTATTCTTTTTAATTTTGAAACGATCATAAAGCAAAGTTATAGAAAACAGTGTGTATCGCACAAAAATACTTCCCTGCACCATCTGGGAGTAAGTTTCTGATGCCTTATGATCCCCACTTGAGTGGGTATTTCCTGTGAATAAGAACATTCCCCTACACAGCCATTAGAAGCAGGCAATTAGCACTGATGTTTCTAACATCTAACCCTCCGCTTGGGTTCTGCTTCGTCCAGGTGTCTGAGAAGCACACTTAGCAAAATGATACAGTTTAGAGTCGCACTTGCACTTAGTCACCATGCCGCTTTACATCCGGAAGCGTTACTCAGTCTTTCTTCAGCCCTCATGACCTTGAACCTTTTAAAGACTACAGGCCACTTACGTGCAGGATGCCTTTTGGTCTGTATTTGTCTGGGCTTTCTTGGGTTCCTATTCACAGTGTGTACAGTATCTTTGAAAAGATCTTACAGAAGTGACTGTTCTCTCATTCCATTAGGTGGTACACAACTCTGATCTGTTCCACTACTGGTGACACTAGCTTTGACCACTTGATTATAGTTTATTTATTTTTGGCTATGAAGTCATGCCTTCTAAAGGAGGTTCGCTATCGCCACTTTTTAAATACTGTGCTAAAGACCCCAGCCAAGCCACACCTTATGTGTGGATTACAGGTGTGTGATAGCACACACCTGTAATCCCAACAGCATGGGAAGCTGAGACCAGAGAACTACAGCCTGGGAAATTTAGCAATTTAGAGAGATCCTGTCTTAAAATGAATAAAAATTTTTCAAAAAGACTGGGGATGTAGCTCAGTGTGAAAGCCCTGGGTTCAACCCCCAGTACTGGAAAAAATAAAACAGATATGTGTTACAATGTTCATAGGAACACTATTTATAATAGTTCCAAAATGGAAATTATCCAAACGCTCATCAACAGCAGAACTGACACATTCTGGAATACTCACACAATGAAATATTACATAGCGATGAGAAACAAACTATATCTACGAGGTATGATTCAAAAATACTGTGAACGTTTAAATTTTTAAAAAATTATTACTTTAAAAGACATTACTTTAAAAAACATTGTAATTTATCCCCTAAAAATCTTTCCCCTCACTTTGAAAACAGCTATCCCACCAGTCATAACCACTTCCTGAAGCAGTTCTGGAAGTCCTTTTTCATGAGTGTCTTTAGTGGCACTGTGACGGCTGACTCAATATCCTGAATCAATTCAAAATGTTTACCTTTCACAGTCATTTTGACTTGGGAGAAGAACAAGAAGTCACATGGTACAGATCTGATGAGTAGGTGGATGAGGACACCGCATAATGTCTTCATGAGCCTGATTTCCATTGGATAGCACTCAGCATTCACCATAATTTTTAATCACATCTCCCAAAGACACTCAGGAAAATAGACATCCTGAACTTTAGAAAGTGGTGAGAATAAAATAGGTGTGTCCAAAGGGAGGTGGAGTATTTTGAGAGCAGGGCTTAATGGCATGTGTCTCTTGTTGTAATAAAGTTTTAAAGTTAAACATTCACCATATTTTTTATCTTCCCTTATACAAGAACATTAGAAACTTCTATTTATTGAGTGCCATTATTGAGAGTGAAAAAGATGTACCAGCCATGGGAGCACATGCCTATAATCCCAGCACTCAGGAGGCAAGAGAGGATTGCCATGAGTTTGAGTTTGATCCTCTGACTACATAGTGTAGCCTGAACTACATAGCGAGACCCTGACTCAAAACAAACCAAAAAACTGGTGAGTGTGGTCGTGCACACCTGTAATCCCAGCACCCAGGAGGCTGAGGTAAGAGAATCACCATTCAAGGCCAGCCTGGGCTACACAGTGAGTTCAACATCACAGTGGGCTACATAGCAAGACCCTGTCTCAAAAAGCCAAAAAAAAAAAATTTATAATGAAAAAAATAATAGGAAACGGACATCTTTTGCAAATGGGAAGTAGACCAAGAAATGGAGGGAGTGGAAGGTTAACTAAAAAGAATTAAGATGTGTTATGTACATGTAACAACTCTCCATGATAAAAATAATCATTACGTACTATAAACATGTACTAATAAAATTTTTAAGTAAACTTCACAATTAAAAAAAGTCTGAAAAAAATAAAGACAGAAAAAGGAAGCCACTGAGTATATATGAAGAACTCTCACAAATCAGTAGGAAAAGACAGACAATCCAACAGAAATAAAATGGGCAAGACCCCCGAATGGGCACCTCTAGAGGAATATATCCAAACAGATGATGTACATACAAAATGGTTCTCGGCTTTTATTAGTTATGAGAGAAAAGCCAATCACGGCAATAGTTCAACACCTCTTCACACCCAACAGGATCACTACACTTCTACACACTACATCAGAATCACTAAACTCGCAAGACCTGTGAAGCTGAGGCGCTCTTACACAGCGCCTCAATGGAGTGCCGGTTACCATGACTTCAAGGCTCTACCTATTTATGCTATCATACTCCAAGTCCCAGCAGCTCCACTCCAGGAAAGACTCCACGTGCATGTCCATCAGATCCACATACAAGAAAACAAAGAGCACCATTACAACAGCCCCAGATTGGAAACATGGCTGAGGCCAAAGGACTGCAAGTTCAAGGCCAGCCTGGACAACAGTTAAATCCCATTTCAAAATAAAATAACATGGGCTGGGGGCGTGGCTCCGCGGTACAGTGCTTGCCTAGCATGCATGAGGCCTTGGGTTAGATATTCCCAAATATACACAGGACTTTTCTGTATCACTGAAAACAAGCCATCCACCGCTGTGTGCAACTTGGAGGGACTCCAGACGTAATATCGAGCCTAGGAAACAGACACACGAAACCCGGAAAGATGCTACTTGTATCAGAAGCAAGCAACAGTGACTGCGGTGATGGGATTGCGGTTGCCTCTGGGAGCAGAGGGATGTTTTCAGAACAGCGGTGTTCGGGGCCCTGCGGTCCTTCCTCCCCGGGCAGGCTCCTGATGCGCGCCCTTCCTGTACACCGTACCTCATCGTGAGTATTTCACTGTCTGACTGCAATCCCCGTGTCTGGCGGCGGGGTGGTCTCAGGAGCCTGCGCGGGGCGAGGGACCCAGCCCGCTTCTCACGGTGCCGCCCAGGGCAGGCTCCAGGGTCCTGGACCCTTCAGTGGGTCCCCGCCCCTCCCGGGTGGACGGCAGACGTCACTGCTTCCTCTTCCACTTCGAGGTTCTCTGACATACAAGACATCTACACTCAGGTGTTCCCACTTTTTGCTTAACTTTTGGACACGAGCGTCTAGAATTAGGATTCTTCCAGACTTTGCCTCATGACAGCGGTAAAGTGGGCGACGCGCACGCCAGGACACTAACACTGCACGAAAACAGCGGCGGGGGATGGAGGGGGTGTCGATTGCTTCTGCCTGGCGGTCGAGCTGCGCATGCGTGCGAGACTGCAGCGATTGGTGCTGCCTGGCGGTAGGCGCGCGGGGCACGCTGGGACGTCTCGTGGGCGGGAGGCGGCGGGCGGGTGGCGGCAGCGGCGGCAACGGGAGCGGGCAGAATGGTGAAGCTGACGGCGGAGCTGATCGAGCAGGCGGCGCAGTACACCAACGCCGTGCGGGACCGCGAGCTGGACCTCCGCGGTGAGTCTGAGGTAGCGGAAGGGCTGTCCCGGGGCCTCCGCGCCTCCTGGAGGTCCGCGCCCCGCCGCGTGCGCCGAGGCCGGAGCGTGGGCCGCGTTTTGCGAGCTGGGCGCCGAGGCGGCGTGGTGCCGGCCTGGTGCTTGTCTCTGTTGCCCGACATCCGTGCCGTTATTCTGCGCAGCGCCTTCCGTTGTCCCGCTGTGCTCGCAGGCTCGGCTGTTCTCGGTACTTTCCGGTCCGGGCTCGGCGCGGCCCGGGCTGTGTCCGAGTGCGTGGGCTAGACTCACTCGTGTCTGTAATTCCAGTGCGGGGCGAGCGGGCGGACTTCAGTGAGTACGTTAGTGGGCTGTTTCGAGTGCAGATCAGTGTTAGTTACCCGTGTTTTGTAAGGGGGGGAGACGAAATCCGGGAATAAAAGCGGCTCTTTCCCGCCCTCGGCGTGTCCTCGGTAGTGTTATCTGGTATTACCCACTAGGAGGACGTTTTCAGGGTGAAACTTGCCCGCAGGCTTGCACCGTGTCTTCTGTGTGCTCGGAACAGTCGGTAGTCGGGTCGCTGTAGTTTTCCGCTGTTTTTTAAGTGTTCTGAGACGGGGTCCCACTGTGCAGTCCAGGCTGTGCCGGAACTCACAGCGATCCTGCGCTGAGCCTCCCGGGTGCAGGAGCACAGGCGTGCGCCACAGCAGCCTGCCGAGGTCCTCGCGGTTATTTAGGTAATAAGATTTGGCTCAAAAAAAAATTAAAAAAAAAAAGTCGTCCTAATACATTGAAGTGCAGCTAGCTGCTCAGTATTTCGGGAGGCGACCCCCGAAAGGCTGTCAAGGACAGTGCCTGTGGGGTAGGGTTATGTGGTCTGGCCTGGCCTGAGGTCACCACTCTCGGAGACCCCCGCTGTGGCTTCTGCTTTCTGCTAAGACGCCTTGCTGACTTTTGGGAGATCTCAGTGCTTTTATTTTGTTGAACTCGTTTCTAAGAGAAACGTCCGATTCAGGAGCATCTTGCCGTTCTCTGCTTAGCACACATGGGCCTCCAGCTCTTCTCTGTCTCAAGCGTATGCAGGGTTGGGTGCGCCCAGTTTGGTGCAGTATGCACTTTGATGCGGTCTTTAGGGCTCTGAGCTGTGTACTTTCATCATGGCTGGCTTCATTTTCTCTTAGGCAAAGATTTGGGCAATAAATTTATGCCCAAAGTAGGCAAGTTAGTCAGGATTCGAATGAAGTGTTGAAGGGTGACCTACTCGTTGGTGTAGCTCACTGGCCTGCACCTCAGGATTAGAGCCGGTGGAGGTGAAGTCAGCGAAGCAGTCGCGTCCTCCTGGAGGCGTGCGATGAGAGCAGTGAACCTGGCCGGTGGACGTGCAAGCGGTTGAGAACTGTTGTCCCCCCGTCTCAGAAGTGTTAGTTGGTGTTATGCTGCTCGACTAACTCTTATCTAGAACAATAGGAAACACCTGTGAAATGTTTTTATGAACGTTAGCTACCGGCGTCACTCGTGGTTAGTAGTCCTGTCCCCTTGCCCTTGCACTTGTCCTTAGCGTCTTCGAGTCCACTGCTGCATGCTAAGCTGCGTTAAACTGGGCGCTGGTGATTCTTGTTTTGTCATTTGTCTTGAGTGCCTTGCACAGTGTTTGACGAGCACACATGTCAGGTAAATGCTTCCTGAGTAAATGACAGCTTGGAGTCAAGTTACCAGGAAGTAGTTTAACTGTTGAAGTTATATTAAGTATTAATACCTTGTGTGTGTTTTTTCCAAAACTCCATTTTACAGGATATAAAATCCCTGTCATTGAAAATCTAGGCGCTACCTTAGACCAGTTTGATGCTATTGATTTTTCTGACAATGAGATCAGGAAGCTAGATGGTTTTCCTTTGTTAAGAAGACTGAAAACATTGTTAGTGAACAACAACAGAATATGGTAAGTGCCTGCTCTTCAGAGTGTTTAAACCTACTGAATGTTGTAATGTGCCTTGAAAAAGTTAAGTATACTGCCAGTTGAACCTACATGTTTCTTCTTAAAGTGAGAATATAGTGCTTTTTCCATACAAATGCAGAATAACTTGACCGTACTCTAGTCTTGTTTGCATGTTTTCAGAAATCTGTATTTGTGTATTCATAAGTCTGTAATTTAAATTAATTTTGGCTTCTGAAGCAGTTATCAGATAGGTCATATTAAAAAGGTATTTAAAATACAATTATATCTTCACTGAGTATCTGTACCTCAGGCCTCCTGCTATTCATTTTTAGAACTGATTTATAGAGTGTAACTTGAAAATGAGACCTTTATTGACTCTCATCAGCTCTGTGTAAATTTTACTGGAAAAATAATTGAAGCTTATAGATAATGACTTGGCAGAAATATTTTTCATAGTTTAATTATTCCCCTCTGGTGTAGTTATGTCTTGCATGGAAGCTGTGCATGCAGAAGAATCACTTATATTTCTGTGCTTCCTGAACAAAATCATAAAGCCAGGAGTCTTGTCTTTTCCCAGTTTCCACAGACATTGTGACAGTGGAAGAAGGTCAGGCAGCATCCAGGAAGCGTGGGATCTGAAATTGTCTACTTCTGTCCCTGGCTTTGTGGCCACTTTGACATAGAATACGGAAGAATGATGTATCTCTAAGGTCTTCGCAACTTTGAGGTGTTATTACCTGAGCAGCCATTTGTTCCTGGTTCCAAACAAACCCTAGGAGGCTTGGTGGAAATGAAAAGGCTTTAAAGCTAGCAATGAGGAAGTGGAAGCCTCATCCTGCCACAAAGCCTTATCTTACTGTGTCTAGGTGTACAAGTACCTTTTATAGTAAGCAAGGGAGGGCAGAGTTAATACAGTACAACAGTAGACAACTCTACCCGTAGTCATCCCTCCTGACCTTTTCCACTCCCTTCCCTGGACCAGACGCCCAGGGACCATTGTCTGCATAGATTGTCCATGCAAATTGAAGAGAGAGAGATGGCTGTACAGGTTCTCAGCCTGAGGAAGTTTGGAGAAGCAGCTTGTTTCAAAGAAAAAACTGTAACATTTAAAATTCCATTGCACCCTGCTGGTTACAATCGGAGAGCCTGTGAGCAATGACTGCGATAAAAGTGTTAGCTTACTTTTCACTTCCACTAAGAGCCTTTCTATTTTCATTTTAGCCGTATAGGCGAGGGACTTGATCAAGCTCTGCCATGTCTCACAGAACTCATTCTCACCAACAACAGTCTTGTGGAACTGGTAAGTTGATCAAAAGGAGATTGAGTTTGGGGGCAAGGTTAAAGGTAGTACATTCGGAGATCCAGAAAGTTTCACAGGAAATTATCCTTTGTTTCTATTTTTTTCTTAATTATTACAGAATCTGAGCTTGTGGGTTATTTTGTTTTTGTGAGGGGGTTGTGTGTGTATATACAGGGGATTGAACTCAGGGCCTGTCACATGGCACACAAACCTTGAGTGATCTCTAATTTATCAGTCTTTATTTTTTCTGTTTTGAGACATTGTCTCGCTATGTAGTCCAGGCTGGCCTCAAACTCGCAGCAAAACTCCCATGTTGCTTTCTAGACTTGCATTGTTCAGTATGGTACCACTAGCTACAAGTGGCTATTCTCACTTGAGATGTACAGAACTGTAAAATGCATGATGGATTGACTTAGAATTAAAAAAAAAAAAAAAACATTGTTAGTAACTTTTTAATACTCATGTTGAAACGATAATATTTGGAATAATGGATTATATAGCATTTTTAAAATTAAATAGCATATTAAAACTAGTTTTACTTTTTTATTTTCATGTGGCTACTAGAAAATTTTAGATTGCATATTTTAAATTACATGCATGAAATTTCTATTCTAGAAACTAGTTTTATTTTTCGCATTAGATGAGCAGTCTACCTGGAACTAATTTCTGTATGAGATAAAGGATAAGTTTCAGTTTCACTGTAGAGGTAGTTAATGATTATTTTGACCTATTTTATGCCCTTAAAATTTCTGCTGTGTATATCTAAGAAAACTGAGTTTATACTGTATATTCGGATTTGTAACCTAGATTTTTCACTGAAAAACTTGATGTTTAAATTTGTATTGTAGTTTGATTTTAGATTATGAAGACTTTATTTACGTCTCTTCCCTATTTTCCTGATTGTGTAGATTGAACTAACTGGACATTCCCTTTTTGGTGGACAGGGTTCATAGCATCTTTCACATTATCAAAAGAGTGCTTGACTCCAGAAGTGACAAAGCACTAGTCTGGGCCCCTGTCCTTTCTCACACCTTGTGATTTGACCCAAAATGGATGTTGATAGGGAATATGTAACATGATTGGTTCTGTTTGAGAAATTGTAGTTGTATTTAAAGCTCTTCGCAAAGCTCCTCCATCCAGTTAATAAAAGAGATACGTTAAAATCTCACATGTTAACCAAGCTAGATTGTGCATGTGTATAATCCCAGCATTGAGCGAGCCTAAGGCAGGGAGATTACAAGTTCAAGCCTGGCCTGGATAATTTAGTGATTTCACAAACTGCGTCATCCTTGCTCAGGGCCATACTAATCTCCTTTGTATTCTTCCCACTTTAGTATATGTGCTGTGGAAGTAAGCCACTCCCTTTTTTACCTGTACTTTTTTTCTCATTGTCCATCTTTGCCCTGTCTACTCAATCGAGATACGTTCCTTAGTGCAGTGTTTTTTCTGGAAGGGACACAATTTCTGGTTAGTGTTGAGTGAGGGTCCGTATTGCTGCAGTGCGGTCAGACCTTCTCACAGACTCACCTTACTCCTTCTTAAAATGTGCAGATGCGTGGGCTGCTGTTCTCATGGAGTACCTGTAGGTTGGTTTGGAGTTTTCCGGTTTATCAGATGCCTCCTTGCCTTTCCTTTGATTTTTCCTACACGAGCACTGTCACCATGCAGTACTGTTCACCTTGTCTTTGAAAAATTATATGAAGCAGTTTGATGGGGGCTAGAATAAAGTAACCCTGTCTCAAAGACAGTTTGTTCTTGGGCACTTGGGAGGGTGTAGCAAGAAAGACCACATTACACCCAAGATGTTAGCTTGATATTTCCTATATAGATAACTTCCTCCAAAGTCCTATGGGCTCTGCCATTGTTTTCTTTCTGAATGATTACTCAGTAGCCCATTTTGAGATTGCCATTGGAAATAAATGTTTTGTATCTTCTGATGTTGAGGTGGAAGTTGTTAATGCAAAGATTTTTAAGAAGATGAAATGTATTCCTCAGTTTATTCAGTCAAAATTATTAATGCAAGAGTGCTTCAAAGATACTCTGTATTTCAAAATAGATAGCATGTGGTATCAGCATTTTTACCTGTAGCCATTATTTTACAGGGTGATTTGGACCCTTTGGCATCTCTCAAATCACTGACTTATCTAAGGTATGGAAACCATTTTTTATGATGACAAAATTAATGAAATACTTAAAATAGCATTGTTACCAGCCTTAAAGCATTCATTGAAAAGTACCTTTTAAAAACAACTATTGAAGTCAGCTGTGGTGGGTACATACCTATAATCTTACCACTGGGGATGCAGAAGCAGGAGGATCACCATGAGTTCTAGGTCAGCCTGAGCTATGTAATGAGATGCTATAAAAAAATTTTTTTTCAGTAAAATTTCTAACATTGAAGCTGTTTCCTGAATGTTACTTAAGTTGATACATTGTGATGTGAATAGTAGTGTACTTTGCATTGATTTATAGTCTTAATGCTCTTCAGCTGAACTTTAATGCTCTGCTATGAACAAGAGTGGCATTGTTGTTCCTTTTCTTATAGCATTCTAAGAAATCCCGTAACAAATAAGAAGCATTACAGACTGTATGTGATTTATAAAGTTCCACAAGTCAGAGTACTGGATTTTCAGAAAGTAAAACTCAAAGTAAGTGTTCTTCGTTGTAAGTCATTACAGAGTTGTGTGTTTTTCTTTACACTTTTGTTATTGGGTTTTTTAAATTGACTAATAAATTTTACTATTAGTTTGTAATTTAAAATGTGGGAAAGAAAATGTTTTTTGTCCTCATAGCACAGTTTATGGTAGGGCTTTAAATTGACACTCCTTTATGTAATGTTGGTCATGCAGAGTTGGCAGAATGTTGGGGAGCCACACAGTGGATTGTCTGCTTAAATACCTTCCCAGCCAGGAGCTTAATATGATCTGTTTTTGAGTAGCTCTGGTTGTCAGGGTGACTTTTCCCTTTACTAGGAGGTTTCTCCCCTATCCCCCGGTTTAGTTCTTTGGCAGCTTTTTAGCAACTCCTTGAAACTGGCGAGAAGCTTTCTCTAGAAGCATCACCAGCAAAGACAAAACTACTGTGTTTCTTTTAATTTTGAATTGGCTTTTTGGTATTTTTACCAGCCCAGAGTATTTCAGGAGCGTTCTCTTCCATGTGTTCTGAGGAATGCATCTAAATGCATGTGGTATTCCTTTTTCCATTAACTCTGTGTGTGGTGTCGCTGTAGGAGCGTCAGGAAGCAGAGAAAATGTTCAAGGGCAAACGGGGTGCACAGCTTGCAAAGGATATTGCCAGGAGAAGCAAAACGTAAGATACAGATATCCAACTTAACTCCCTTCACTTCAGAAACACTGTCTGGCAGCTTGCCTCCTACAAAATTAAACCAAAAACTGTGATTAATGTGGTATTAAATTTGAGTGCTGCTAATCTGTGGCTATCCACAGCCCATATATCACAAGGAATTTCTACCAAGTTCACAGAACAGATACCTCAGTTTTAATGTGATGTTTATATGTTCTGTTCTCTATAGGAAGATGAAGTGGGTGGTGTTTCTGAAGGAGAGAGTTCTTGTATCAGTTTGTTAACAAAGATAAGATACTACACTGGTTTAATTACTTTCAAAAGCTTTTGAAAGTAAAAGAGAAGCACCGTCTATGGGTGAGAATTTAACAGTTATATTCTTTTCTCCCCCAAGTTTTAATCCAGGTGCTGGTTTGCCAACTGACAAAAAGAAAGGTGGGCCCTCTCCAGGCGATGTAGAAGCAATCAAGGTAATAACATGTAAAGATTCTGGACTGGTTAGAGTGAGATGGGTTTAGGGCACAATAATGTAGCGAATGTAGCTCTGAATGTTGAAGATTGCATTTTCCCACAGTTGTTAGAATTCTTCTACGTTAAGGAAAATTTAGATCAAAGTCAAACTGGGTTTGGAGGTCTGCTGGGGGCTGAGGTTGCTCTGGTTTTGGGGGAAGGCAACTGAGCTCAGACCTGTCAGCCGCGGCGACAAAGTGTCCTGCACAATGGTAGAAGATGAGCTGGCGCTCTTGGATAAAAGCATAAATGAATTTGGAAATAAGTTCAGAAACACTCAGTGACACTCCCTGTCAGATAGTGGGACTAAGAGATGCCTCTAAGGACTCTGTTAAAGCTCTGGCAGAAAAGCTGTCTGTGAAGTTAGATCAAAGTCAGTTCCTGGACTGAACTTGACTCGGTTGCATGTGCCAGTTGAAGTGGCTTCTTTGTCCTTTACATTTTCTTGAGTGCATTTATCACTTTCAACAGTAAGTTACCTTGGTATGTTGTCTCAGGGTTTGCCTTCGTTTTTATTTCATAGATTTTGCTGCCTGACGAACCTCAGATGATGGTGGAAAATCCTAATTTTGTAATATTGCCCGCTAAATTATCCAGTAATATAATCCCATATAGATAGTAAGCTTAAATTTCAGGGCAAGTAGAATGATTACTTGTTCTCTTGTTTTATAAGAAAACTGTGTTTCTTCACCAATTTTGAAAATTTAGAATTTGGTGTCTGGGTTCATTCAGGGTACTGGTAAAATTCTTCCTCCAACACAGAACTGTGTGATGTTCTAGCTCAAAATTTGTTAGAAATTTCTGTATTTTCTGGATGGTTGGTGCTTAATTGAAATTAATTGTCTATCTTCCTTTTGCTCTGTCCTCCAGAACGCTATAGCAAATGCATCCACCCTGGCTGAAGTGGAGAGGCTGAAGGGATTGCTGCAGTCCGGTCAGATACCCGGCAGAGAGCGCAGATCAGGTCAGAAAGCAGTGTGCTGTGTGTGTGCTCCCAAGGAGTGGTACACTCGGTTACTCGGAGTAATTACAAGGCAGGCGAGACGCTGTGATCCAGGCATGCCGGAGGGAGCCAGGCAGGCACACGCCTGTAATCCCAGCTGCCTCGAGGCTGAGGCAGGAGGATTAGCAGTGTGACCCCAGCCTGGGCAACTTAGACCCTTTCTCAAAGTACAACATAAAAACAAAGGACTAGGGATGTAGCTTAGTGTAAAGGTCCTGGGGTTAATTCGTAGGACTTCCCAAAAAAATGCTAAAACAAAGTATTTGGTGAAGTTCATTTGCTAAAGTAAAATCATAGCACTTTGGAGGTCGGGTGGGGGTATGTAGAAGTTGAAGGAAACATTATTTCCTAGCACCGAATGAACCAAACTCTAGAGATAACCGTGTGAACTATTACTTTTACATACAGCCGTGCACGTCATGACAACATTTTGGTTGATGATAGTCTGTATATATAACAGTGGTCCTGAAAGATTATAACAAAGCTGAAAAATTCCAGTTGCCTAGTTTTTTACTGCATCTCTGCGTTTGCATTAGAGTTGCCTGCAGTATTCAGTATAGTAACATACTGTATAGGTTTGTATCCTGGGAACAATAGGCTGTGGTCCATAGCTGTATGATCTAGATATGTCGAAGGACACTTCCTGGCGTTTGTGTTTGCACAGTGACAAAATCACCCAGGGATACAGTTCGCAGAACATATCCTGTCTTTAAGCAAGGATGAATAAGACAGCTTTTAAGATGTGATTCTCAACAACAACAACAAAAAATAAAATAAAAAAGCCCTAAGATGTGATTCTCAGTGGTCCCTGGACTCCTGGGGGGTCTGTGAGATCAAAACTATTCTTATAATACCACCAAGACATTATTTTTCTTATTATGGCAGTATTTGCACTGATGGAGCAAGAATAATAGCTCAAACTGCTGGTGCCTCAGCACAGTATGGTGCAAGTGCTAGCAGTTAGTACAGTCTTCTTGCTGTCTACTCCCAGTAAAACATACCAGCTGCACTTCAGAATGTCCTGGATGAATGTCCTCTAGGATTATTAGGGGCTGAAGAGGTAACTTGGTGGTAAACCAAGCACTTGCCTACCATGTATGATGCACAGCAAAACAGTTACTAAATATCACTGCTTCATTACGCCTCCGCTTGATATTTTGAATGGCAAATGGATACACATGAAACTCTTGTATCAACGCATGCCTGAGTTGTTTGGTTATGTGCATGCGCGGGTACAGTTGTTTTAAGGTGAGAGGCTGATACGCTCTCAAACATGAAGTGAGCCCGTTGCCTCAAGGAAAACAAGTGTCGGGTAAAGTTCAAGGGTTCAAGCAGAAATTAAAACTTGGGAAACTTCCGTCAGCTACTTCTTACTTAGCACTTAAAAAAACTTCTGTGAGAAAGTGGGGACATTAATGAGTGGGGTTTTGGGGGCGAGGTTTGGCCTTGTGTCATGAAATGGCTCAACTTCGGAAGATCCGCAAAACTCAGGGAACCACTGTTTTCCAAATGGTGTTAGAAAGTCATACAGGGGTAAAAGATCTGTTGAAAGGACAGAGTACACCACTGCAGTTTCAAATAAAAGAGTGTGAAAAATTATTTGAGGCTTTCAGACAGGTGTAGTGGCGCATGCTAAAACCCCAGCTACTCAAGAATAAGGCAGAAGAATCAAAAAAGTTCGAGGCTGGGCTGGGCAGCCCATGAGACCCTGCCTCAAAAAGTGGGGAAATGTAGTCCAGTGTAATGCAAACCTCCCCAGTGTAATCCTCAGTACCAACAAAAAAGAAGTATAAAGTGGTGTCAGTCTTTTCACTCAATGCTTTCTTTTGGAAAACACTGCCTTTTGTTAAAATGTAAATGTTAATATGTAACAGATTTATTATTTTCCTGAATTACTGTCTTCAAAATTTCTAGTTTTAGTTTCCAACACAGGATCAATAAATACAGTTAATGTAAACAAAAGCTGTGTAAGCCTGCATGCCTAATAGTTTGAGAGCTGCTAAAGTAGATGCAGTCACAGGATGTTTTAGGCAGAGGAGACTGTACACCAAAACACCTCCGTGGAAAGGCGCCCTGGAACTGAAAGAGGGCCAGAAAGTGAAGTCCGCGTCTCGGGTGCAGGGGCACTGTGGTTTGTGATGGAGTAGGTAACACTGGAAATCTGCCCAGGCGTTCAGGGTTTGGTGCTGACAGGCGGGGAAGTGCACAGCACCAAAGCTGCTTATTGTGACTACAGTAGAACAGGATTACAGTAAGTCCCCAACTTAAGAACATTGCAGTTGTGAACTTTGACAGGTACGCTGTAGAACTCAACTCTGCTGGATACGAATGAATCCAGCTTATGAACGTTCTCCCAGGACAAAACTCATCCATAATTTGGAGACTTACTGTACTGGATTACTGTCCCTCCTTCAGGGTGTTTTATTTGGGCCTTCAGGGCCTCTCTAGATTTGGGATTGAGAGATTACAACATTAATCGTGGTGCTGTATTTGCTAGACCTCATTAGCTCTGAATAACACTAAGAAAGACATTCCCCCTTGGTATCTTTGTATCTAGAAATCTGAAGTTTGGAACTATCTATAGAATCAAAACACTTAAATATGAGTAATCTTCCCAAACAGTTGATAAATTGGTAAAAACGTCCTTTTTCAAAACATTGACCAAAAAACCTGCCTTAAATTGTTGAACAAGTACAAAACCCTAACTTTTTGGTTATTATTGCTATGTTACCCTAATTTAGAGACCACTATTACCAGTATCTGGCATGTATTCAGTGTATAACTATGTTTTTTATATTTGCTATTTTTATCTTCACAGAAAATAAATAGGCATAACTATGATGAGAGGCCACCACTTCCACTTTGTTAAAACACTTTTCTGACTTTTTCCTTGGAAATTGACCGCACTTTCCATTACCTGTCAAAGACAAACTATTCCTGGGTTATAAATTCCTTTAGAGCAGAGGCTGCTTTGGGTTTTTTGTACCTTTTCCAGTATAGTACCCTCAGAATGGGCACTTGCCTGCTACACAGATTATCTCAAACTGATGTGATTTCCGGGTTTTGTTTTCTTCAGGTCCCACTGACGATGGTGAAGAGGAGATGGAAGAAGACATCGTCACAAATGGGTCCTGATCAGTGTGGCAGATGCAATAGACTCTCTTGGGATAAGTCTTGGTTTTTGAACACAGAATAATGGCCTTGTTTGTGTCAGCAAAGTGGGATCTGTCAGCATCGTTGAAATGTTTGAAACTGCTTCTGATAATTTTGTAATGAATTTTGAAATCTAATGTCAGTTTTCTACAAATGTGAAAAATAAAGGCCATTCGCTGTCCTGCCAAGTTGCGTGTCATCATGTGTTTTGGGAGTAAAGTTTGTAAGGACACATTTATGTTGCAAGTGCAGGAGGCCCTTTCCTAGGTAGGCATCCCCATCATCTATGAAGTGTTTGTTTCACGGTCTTCAGAAAGGCAGCCAAACTTGAGGACCTAACATGAACCAGCATCCTTGGACCTTTTTAAACCTACACACAATCATTCAAATTACTCATTTAAAAATTAGGGCCATGTGGCTCCTCATCAGGAGGCAGGATGTGAACAGGGGAACACCATCTCCCAACCTGTAGAAAGAACACTGTGCGGGTGGGGGTTCATAGCTTCCCTGGGGGTGCTCAGCTCCTTCATGACTACGTTCCTCATCCGTTGACATTCACTAGGGATTTTTAAAATGCCAGTGCTTGGGGCTCCCAGCTAGATCCTCTGATTCTGAATTGTGAGAAGCACTTCTAAATAGTTCTGGAATGGTACTTGCTGATTGCTGATCACCTGATGGCTCAGACTGTGCCTTTAGCTCCTGATGGTCTGGCTGGGAAGATGGAACCACAGGGAGCAGTGGCTTCTGCTCAGTCTTGGTCCTAAAGTTTTTATCCTGGCCTGAATTAGAGTGGTTCTCACATGTCTTCAGTGACAGGACAGTGAGACTGCCTTCCACATGGCCCTTCTGGTAATGCAGGGTTACCTCTTGCTTCTGTTTCTGAGGATAGGCTGACTAAAGCGGTTCTCCTTTTTGTTGGGGCAATAGCTTAAAATAAACCCTGGGTTCAATCCTTAGCACTGGGTGGGGGGATTTTTTTCACAGTTAAGATGCAAGGAGACTACTTGCATTATTCACTATGAGCCGCCCTACTGTGTAGGACTCAGGTTGGTCAAAAGCCTCAGTGATGACAGGCGACAGTAAGTATTGATGTCCTCAAGTAACTTCTCTCTGATCACAGTCCTTACCTAGAAGTAGCTTACTTTGGCCTGGCCTGAACTCTACTATAGTACCTAGCAAAGGATGAGACTTCTCAGCATTTCTCTTAATTAATCTGAGCTAGTGAGATTACTTTGGCACCATTTTACTGTTTAAGATTTGGTAAGCCAGGCAGGGTGCACACCTGTAACCCCAGCACTGTGGGAGGCAAATTCAAGTGAGATCTTGTCTCAAAAACTAAAAATGGGGGCTGGGGCTGTAAATCAGTGTGAAAGCCTTGGGTTGGATCCCCAGTACCACCATTAAAAAAAAAAAAAATAAGTGAAAAAAAGCCAAGTGGGACCTTCGTTGCATTATACACAGTACTGTCTCAAGGATTTTACAAAGTTGACCAGAGGAAAGAGGCCTGTGGTGCTCAGAGGTGAAGCTCCAGCTACATGTTCCTAACCCAAAACAATCGGGTTTATTCTAACCTGGTATTTCCTAGAAGCCCAACATTTCCAATTTTCAATTTTGCAGAACATGTGTTTCACTCACACTAACTTTTGTCATGTTATAGAAGAAATTATGTACCAGTGACAGAGTTATGCCTGTAAGAAGTTGGCTTCTATGAAACTACATTAAGACAGTGATTTCAGTATTATTTTGTAGTGTTCGTGTATAATTGATAAATGCCCTGGTTTTGAGGTTGTAAGAACTATAGGTTTTAAGAACTGTAAGTTTAGGGATGATATCTCATATGTATACATTAATATCATTTAAAGGTTGCTTTGGGGATTCCCAGAGTGTCAGTTGAAGAGGTGGGACCTTGGGTTATTCCTGTTTAGGAAACATTACTGTTTTATAGCTGTCACTGATCTCCCTTAGCTACTCATACCCTCAATCCATCTTGTTGCATATACTTTTGTGAAAATATGAGGGTAGCAGCCGACCAGTAGCTATTGTAATACACTTTTTTTATTTTTTGCCACACTGGGGCTCAAGCTCAAGGCCTTGTGCACACCAAGCCAGAGCTCTAGAGAACTACAACCCGTCTGACAACCACCATATATTCTGCCCACTTGCCATTAAGCAAAGCAAACCACCTGGCCAAATACAAAGTCAAAGGATATGACTCATGGGGACCAGTCATTTTAGCTGTGTGGTCAGTGACAGGTGGAAATTCAGGTCACTATCCACCTTTGTCTTATTTTTGCAAATAACACCTGAGCAATCGTATTGAGCAAATTGCTGAAATAAGGTGACAGTTCGAGATAAGCATCATCTAAGGGGACAAAGGTAATACAAGCCTGGTGAGGAAGAATGAAAGCCTGTATCAAGCGCAGTGTGCTAGGAAGTGAATGGAAATTCATCACTAAATTCACTGCGCTTGACTCATGATCCATAAGTAAACACATTCTAGTTCCCAAGAGTAAACAGAGATGCTTTTTTTGGTATTTGTTTAAGATGTATTATTTCCATGAGTTGCTACTAGTTTCTACATGGCAGAGTCCTAAGTGGAAAGGATTTTGTGTGTGCTTGTGTGCATGAGCGCTCAAGCCTAGGTCCTTGTTGGATGGGAGGCAAGCTCTTTACCTCCCAGCTGTATCTGAAGCCCATTTTTTTCGATGAGAAAATGGCACAATTCACTTTGTCTTAATGACTACAAGACATTACAGGGCAGGATGGCAAATAAAGGGAACTCCTCCTACCTCCCCCCCTTTAACAACGTGCAGAATTTTGGCATTTTTAGGTTGTGCAGCTTGACTTAATTCCTTGATGTAGAGTGAAAATCAGCAACAGCAAATCTGCAATTTAAGATCTTCCATAGCTATTATAAGTATCTAAATTCCTGTCCTCAAACTCACAATGATCCTCCTGCCTCAGCCTCCCGAGTGCTGGGATTACAGGCGTGTGCCACCATGCCTGGCAAATATCTTAATTCCTAAACTACACTGCGAGCGCTGAAATGGTATTCACTGCAACATCCTTGAAGCTTTCATATCTAATCTGAAACCTCTGATTAAAACATCAGCTTTTCAACCCAGGCCATAAATTCTGTTAAATAGTACATGATAATGAAACTGCCCCCATTGGGCATGTGGTGCATGCCTGTGATCCCAGCACTCGGGAGGCTGAGGCAGGAGAATCACTGTGAGGTCTGTCTGGGCTACATAGTTCAAGGCCAGCCAGAACCGAATAGCAATACCCATCTCAAAAATAAATAAATACATAAATCTGCTCTCAAAGCATTGACTGAAATTGTGCTGTGATCCCTTTTCTGAGTGTAAGTTTCCTGACAGAAAGGAGACGCCCTAATCAACTGCTTCCATGAACAGTGATTCTGGCACAGTATACTAATGTGCTGCACAGCTAACAATAGTGAGGTAACACTGCTCATCCTGACTAGTGTATTATTTCCGTGTAATTTACATTTAAAGCTAATCTCAGACCAAGCATTGGAAATGGGATTAAGAAATCACATTGAATTCCTCCAGATGGCAGAGCGAGAAGTGACCTTAAAGCAAAGAACGATGGAGTTAAAAATGAGCTCAGTTGTAGAGCATATGGGTCCCTGCGGTCAATCTCCAGCACAAAAAAATTTTAATGAAAGGAGTGACTAACCAGACACCATGGTTCACACTTGTAATCCCAGCTATGCAGGAGGCTGAAACAGGAGGACCCCAATTTGAGGCCAGCCTGGACAACTTTAGGGAGATCTCTCCAAAGAGGGCTGGGAATATAGCCCAGTGGTAAAGCACCTACTTAGCATGTGTCAATCCCTAGCACATACTGAAAAAGAGTAGTGGTGGTGGGGTTATTCCTTGTTTTTGCAAGTGAGAAGAAAATATCAAGATAATAAAACTCCATTCTAAACTCATCAGTTGATGTCTCTTCACATTATTTGACAACCAGTCCTCAATTTCCTAATTTGAATCCATTTTCAAGATGGCCAATACGGTGAAGGAAAGGTTTCAAGCTTTTTCTCTGTGATGGCCCGTGAACTCTAGTCCTTCAGTCGAAATCTCCGTATTAGCTATTAGTATAACAAAATACCCAAGTCAGGCTAACTTCATGAACAAAAGAGGCTTATTTAGCTCCATATTGGAGACTGAGAGTCCAAATAGCATGATGCAGGGTCTAGCAAGAGCCTGTCTTGGCTTTAACCCGCCATAGCAGGATTTTATCTCTATGCATGTCATGTCTTTCAGGGATCCACCCTAATTAATTGCTTTCCAAAGGTACCGTAGTCAGACTGAGTTTTCAGTTTCCTAATACCATTAACCTAAAACGGGATTACGCTGGAGTTCCAGATAACAAAGCATAGCAATCTCTTTCATTGTTTTCTGAAGACAGTACTGGGGACACTCGATGAAGCCCGCGTACGGTCCTTGAGGGTTGGAGACCTTCTTGGCCTACAAGGAGAGTAGGAAGCTGCCCCACACATCGTGTTTACACCTTCGTTTGGCGGACTTCAGCTGCTACCCTTCCTGGCTGGCAGTCGCTGGTCGGCTGAGCCCCATAGCCCAATGGACTTAGTGTGTGTATTCTTAGTGTGTGCAAATTTCGACTCAGGGCAGCTCAGAGCCTAGCCTCCTTGACCTCAATGTCCCAGCACCACAAAAGCTGGGTAATTACTTGGTGAAAGAGGTTTCTCATTCACTCTCCGAGGCCAGCACCTAACCAGTCTAAACCGCAAATCCCAGGAGCATCCGCCGGATGCCTCGCCCCACCCCGCCCCTTGGCCACACCCCCTCTGTGATTGGCCTAGCTTCCGGGCGGGGTCAAGTGGCGATTGGCCAGGACGAAGGCCACGTCCGGGAGCGCCACGTGTACGTAGAGAAGGGCCGGAAGCGCAGGGGTGAAGGCGCCGCTGCGGTGTTGACGGCCGCGGCGGCCATGGATCGGGAAGGGGAGGTGCTGTCCTCGCGGCCGGCCCTGGAGACAGAGGGACTCCGCTTCTTGCACGTTACGGGTGAGTCCCCGCGGGCCGCGGGGCAATGAGGTGCGCGCCGCCAGCTCCCCGGAGCGCCGCCATGTTGGGTGGGTCGTGCTTTCTGCGCCCTGCGAGGGCCGGGGAGGCCTGGCCGGCATGCGGGCGTGGGCGCCGCACCCGGGCCTGGGCCGCGGGCCCGAGCCTCGAGTCGAGGCTGCGGGGAGCCGATCTCGTTTGCCGGGACTCTGTGCTTTGTGCGCAGCGAGCCTTCCGGTTGCAGTTGCCGGAGTGGCTCGGCCCCGGCCGGGTCCCTGGTGGCCCTCGCCCGCGCCCCATCACACACCTAAGCCTCAGCTCCACCCTTTGTGTGTGAGTGCGTTCTTAGTCCGAAGGGCCTCTGCCTTGCTGAGTTGGGTGAGGTCTTGCTCCTCCCAAACCCGGCCGCTGTGCCCCCCGCCCTCCGACCGACTCCCCAGAGGCTTGGCAAGCCGCCCTGCCCAGTGCTTGCCCCGCTGTCGGGTGCGAGGCTCCTGCGCCTGTCTTTACGTAGAAGACCATTTCTTCAGCTAGACCGTGAAAGATCTGACTCGTCCGTGTGGGGTTTCGTGGAAAATGCCATTCTTAGAGTCTTAAAGTTGTTTTCTTCCTTTCAGTGGGCTCTCTGCTGGCCAGCTATGGCTGGTACATCCTCTTCAGCTGCATTCTCCTCTACGTGGTCATTCAGAAGCTTTACACCCGGCTGAGGGCTTTGAGGCAGAGGCACCGGGACCGAGCTGAGGCTGCTGCTGTAGGTTAGTGCTTGATAACAGACAAGAGGCAGTGGTTCTATAAACATGCACTGTTTTTTTTTTTTTTTTTTTTTTTGAGACAAAGTATCCATATGTAGCCCAGGGCTGGCCTTGAACTCACAGTAATACTGCCTCAGCGGCTGCACCACCACACCCAGCCTGCTTTTAATATTTACAAGTTAGTCTGTTAAGAGCAATGAACGTATGAGGCTGAGGCAGGAAGATCGCTCAGAGTTGGAGGCCAGCCTGGACTACCTAGTAAGTTTAGGGCCACCTGCACTACATGGCAAGACCCTGTCTCAAAAAACTATTCACTTTTGTTTAATTCAATTAATTAACTAAATTAATTTTTGAAAAGAAAGAGAAGAATAATGAGTGTATGATGCTCATTGTACAGGAGTGCCTTTTATGCCCCTGGAGTTGGTTCTGGTCGTGTGCAGTTTTTATTTTTATTTTTATTTTTTTGGTGGTACTCAGATCAAACTCAGGACCTTTGGACTGAGCTACTTCTCCAGCCTGTTTTTTTTTTTTTTAATTTCCTTTTTTATGAAAAAATGTTACAACAAAATAATAAGAGGAAAACAATAGTTAATACATTTCAAAAGACGCAAGTATTGGCACAAAACTTCCTTTTCAGTGAGTTAAAAGAAATTAGTTGTATAAATGAAATAAATTAGCATATATATTAAAATGTTTTTGAAACAAATAGGTGACTTGAGGATCCACCTGAATCTTGTCCACTTTATATTTATCTGCCAGGGCTGGGGATTTAGCTCAGCGGCACAGCGCCTGCCTGGCAAGCACAAGGTCGTGAGTTCGATTCCTGGTACTGGTAAAAAACAAAAAAAACCAAAAAACCATATTTATCTACCATTTTGCCAGACTGGTTTCTCTAAGTTGCCAAAGCTGGGCTCCAGTTTGTGATCTCCTCCCTTAGTCTCCCAGAGTGCTAGAATTGCCGGCATGCTCTCCCATTTCCAGGGGGATATTTTTTGTATCAGGGACTTCAATGAGATGGAAAACCCACTGGACAGTGTGTGTCACACCTAATGGGTGTCTTGTTGAACAGTTTGTAATTTGACATTGGATCAAAATGAAAGCTTAACGCCTTCTTTGTACTTTTGGGTCTGCTTACTCAGTTACTTCTGGAAGTGCTGTAAGTGACCAGAAATTCAGCCTTAATTGTACAACTGGCTTCATGTTGATTTTTCACTAACTTTTTTATCACACCTGGTTTTCAATAACAGTTGTCTGTTTGAAGAAATTCCCTCTCAGAAAACAGCCTTTCCAATAACTACACTTTCTGTGGGCATCTACCCAAGAAAGAGTGTGTTAAATGTTTGAGCACAGCAGCATAATTAAGCAAAAGTGAATTGTGCATTTGAGTCACTGTGTACGGGGTTGGGGTGAAAGCTTTCTTTGTTTTACAAACCAGATAAAAGTGTAAATTAAACTTGTATCTTGGGCCAGGTGTGGTGGCACACGCCTGTAATCCCAGCACTCCGGAGGCTGAGGCAGGAGGATCGTTGCGAGTTTGAGACCACCCTAGCCTACAAAGTGAGCTCAAGGCCAGCCTGAACTGCATAGTGAGACCCTGTCTTAAAAAGACCAAAAAAAAAACCAAAAAAAACTTGTATCTTTAATGCTAGCTGACAGAGATTTTTCTTTGTTAGAAGCAAGAATAAAATACCTAAAATTTCTTACCTCTCTCTGATACAAATCTGGGCTGATTGAGCAATGGCTAAAAATTCAGAACACTGCTGGGCGTGGTGGCGCACGGCTGTAACCCCAGCACTCGGGAGGCTGAGGCAGGAGGATCGTTGCCAGTTCAAGACCAGCCTGGGCTACAAAGTGAGCTCAAGGCCAGCCTGAACTGAATAGGGATACCCTGTCTCAAAAAAGGCAAAAAAAAAAAAAAATCAGAAAACTTTATCTGCTTGTCTTTTGAAATTCTGATCTGAGACTGAGTGTGAGAGGTGTCCACGTTGTACAGTGGAATCTCTCTGTGGCCCTCAGTTATAGTTAGCTGCGTGGCCGCTGTCCTAGACTTTCTGAATTAGAGTTGCTAGAGACAACCTAGAAATTTGCATTTCTAACATGTTTTTGGTGATGTGGCTATTTATAGCTAAGAAGTGTAGCTAAAAGGAAGCGGGATTAAGTCACACAAAAACATTTCTGGTTGTGTGATATCTGTACCTCCTTATAATTACAGTGTAGACACTCATAGAGTTTTTATGTTGTACAGGTTGGATTACCTCATTTTTTTCTCATTTTAGAACCTGATGCTGTTGTTAAACGACAAGAGGCTGTAGCAGCTGCTCGTTTAAAAATGCAAGAAGAACTGAATGCACAAATTGAAAAGCATAAGGAAAAACTAAGACAGGTATGTACTGGTTGTACAGTGAATGTGTAGTCTGAAGAAACTGAGGCTTAGGGGGTAGTAGCAAGCGTTTGTTACTTATAAACTGTTAGGACAAGTCCTATCCCAGTAGAGTTCACAAGTGTTTCACGGCCCTCTATGTAGATACTTGTGGTATCAAGAAAAAGACCCTGTTCTTAGGGAAGGGTGGCGTGTGAATACAATATTACAATGAAAGATCCAGAGCTCAGAAGAAGGGACAGACTGGGGCAGAATATGTGCACTGTGTGTGCGTGTGCGTGTGTGTGTGTGTGTGTGTCCATGTGTGTCCATGTCCATGTCCCCACCCGTGCTTGTGCCTGTTACGGTGAGATGAAGAACAGCTGCTCGAACCCAGGGCCTCACACATGGCAGGCAAGTGCTCTACCACCGAGCTGCAGCCCAGGCCTGTTTAACTCTCTGACAGCAGTGTCACCCAACAAAATGGTGTGTCCAGCTCTCCTACCACCAGGCACACAGCAGACAAGTTAGCTTTGTTCTGGCACTTCAGTGGGCTGAAGGATTACCAGGGGAAGACAGGGCTCAGCTGAGAGTCATGCTAATAGATGGAGAGTTGTGAGGGGTTTTTTGGTTTGTTTTTGTTTTTTGAAATAGGGTCTCACTGTATAGCCCGGGCTGGCCTCAAACTCAGCAATCATCCTGCCTCAGTGTCCCAAATGCTGGGATTACAGGTGTGCGCCACCATGTCCAATGTGAAAGATTTTTTGAGGCACAGTTGTTCGGAGGTGGTAAGAGGTGAGGCAGAGGAAGAACCAAAGATTTCCATAAGCAGCTAAGGGGATCGTGCCACTTGGCACAGGAAAGGTTGCAAACTTTGAGCTGATCTGAGCACTGAAACAAGCTCTGCTTTCTGGTTTTATTCCAGAGATGTCCAGGCCTCATCATCCCCTCATAAGGAACCTTTACCAGCTGTAGGGCAGCGGGGAACTTGGTCACACTTGGATCTTGCCTGCGTCTCTGGTGTTTCCAGGGACGAGTGTCTTCTGTGACTCCTTCTGTATTTTCTGCGAGGTCATCCTTCCGGCTGCTCTGCCCAACTTGGCTGGGGCCCAGAAGGAGAGGACAGAACAGGGTCACTCCCCCACACTCCTCCTCCTTGGTCACCTGTTCCAAAGCCTGCAGTGTGCATGTCAGTTGGCTGCCAGTCTTATTTAGTCACCGACCTAGCACAAACATGACTGACAAGATCTGTAATTAAAGTTGCAATATAAAATCTGTGCCGTGGAAGCAAAGTGTCTCCCTCCTTGTTCCCTCAGTTCTGATACCCGAGCATCCCACGCAGTGTTAAGTTTTCGAGTATTTTTCACAAACATGTTACCTGTATATGAGTACAAGTGTGGTTCCCTTTTTATGGAGATGGAAGCATGTGTCATTTTGGACAGTTCTATTTCACTGGGGTTTTTGTTTTTTGTTGGTTTTCGATGCTGGAGATCAGAACCAGGGCCTTGCCAAAACTCCGCAAGCACTCAACCAATGAGCTACACCCCAGGCCACCCACTAAATTATTCAAAGACTTCAGAGCCCGAGGCTTTTGTGTATCTGTCTCTGTGTTAGTAACGTAGCTTGATTTATTTGCTTTGTTGTTATAGCTGAAAAGTCTTTAAAAATATGACTTCAAAGCCAGGCATGGTGGCACACACCTAGGATCCCAGCACTCTGGAGGCTGAGGCATGAGGATTTTAAGATTTAGTCCACCCTGGGCAACTTAGTGACTTAGTGAGATCTTTTCTCCAAATAAAATATAAAGGGCTAAGAACATAGCTCAGTGTAAAGGCCATGGGTTCAATCCTCTTACCACAAAAGAAAAAGAAAACCTTAAGAACTGCAGTGTAGGTACAGGGCATGATGCCACATGCCTTTAATCCTACCACCCTGGGTGGCTGAGGCAACACGATTGTAAATTCAAGCCTAGCCTGGAAACCCATGAAAAAAGGCCCAGGGATGTAGCTCAGTTTGAATGCCCTGATCTCAAATCCCAGGACTTCCAAAACACGAAATTGTAGTGCAAGCCTCCTAAAATTGGAAGAGAGACTGTACAAGTTACGTTTTTTTGAGATAGGGTCTTACTGTGTAGTCCAGGCTGGCCTCGAACTCACGGCAGTCTTCGTGCCTCAGCCTCCTGAGTGCTAGGATTGCAGGCATGTGCCACCACACCCGACTACAAGTACTTAAATTGTGAAAGACACACCACATGGTTCTGATTGAGGCTGCCTGGCTCGTGGTGAGATCAGCTCTCTCGCCTGTGGCGTCATAACTGCTGTAGCTCCGGTCAGATGTTCTTGATGGCAGAAGAAGTATAAAACATCCTTTCTGTTGAGGGATGGTTGGTTTCGTCTCGCCTCCTGTCCTCCTAGACTGGCATGCGACAGGCATATGAGGTTAGCAGGGATGGGCTTAAATGCCAAGGCAGCTGCCTGGGTATGGGCTGCTTAAGGCATCTTGTCACCTCTCCTCGTGATACCACAGTTAACTGGAGCCAGAACGAACTGTAGTTTGGTTCTGGATTCCAGTGGAAATGAGGTTGGCATGCATCTGATATGTGTCAGTTGGCTGTTGGAAGAAAAGCTTTTTTCAGGTCAGGTGTGCTGGTTGCTTCCTGCGTTGGGAAGGTCTGTTCTGCCTAGGAGCGTTCTCAAGTGCTTACTGTTCGTGTAGTTTCTGAGATCAGTTTTCCCTCGTGTCCATAGTGCTTGACTTGCCGAAGCTCTTTGATATCTGCCCCTCACATCCTGAGGCTTAGAGGTTAAGTGACTTCTGGAGGCGTAGGTGACACCTAGGTGATGATCAGGCCAGCCTGGTAGCCACATGCACTTATTCTGAGCCGGAGTTCTTAGCACCAAGCGAGGCGAGAGCGTAGCTCAGTGGCAGAGCGCTTGTCTGGCATACGCAAGGCCCTGGCTGGGTTCACTCCCCAGCCCCACGCACACGTCAGAGTTCTGCATTAACAAAACTGTTGGGATAAGGGTGGGTTTCAGAAGAACAAAATCATGGCTCTTTTTGCCCTGACACTTTCTGCTTTCTCAGTAATGTACAAGACAAAACGGAAGACAGTGTGGGCAGAGGTTTTTGAAAGACATTTCAATTTAAAATTTGCAGAATTAACATTTTCTTTGAGAGAGGTGGCAGCTAATGAGGTCTTTGGATGTGTGATTCTCAGCTCGAAGAGGAGAAGAGAAGACAGAAGATAGAAATGTGGGACAGCATGCAAGAAGGCAAAAGTTACAAGCGAAGTGCGCGAAAGGTAACTGGTTCGGCTCGGGGTGAAGTTTCCTAGTGAATGCACTTTCGTCAGGTCGATGCTTTTTTCTTCCTGGTGCTGGGCACTGCAGCTGGCAGGGTCTTCCACATGGTAGGCAAACACTCCAGCACTGGGCTATACCCCCAGCCTGAAGTAAGACATTTTAATGGATTCTTAACCCTTCCACGCCAAAGATTGCAATTTTTGGTATTTTTGCATAAAATGCAAATGCGGATGTTACTAGAAAAGGAAAAAGAATTTAAGAACATTTCATCATGTTCCATTGTTGTGGGTGTTCCAAAAGTGGCTCACTAAGCATTGAAGGGTTAATCCTGTTTATTTTCAAAACAGGAGGAGGACAGTCCTGGGCCTTCCACTTCATCCGTCCTCCCAAAGCGGAAGTCCGACAAGAAGCCCTTGCGGGGAAATGGTAAGCACCAAGTGACGTCAGACTAGAGTTTACAGATAAAGCAAGATGCTCTTGTCTTTATTTCAGTGTAAATTGAGGCTAAATCCTAAGCGTAGGATGCAGACTGCCAGAGGCCCTCCCTCCTGGAGCAGTGAGGTTGACCGTGCTTGTGTTGCAGTGTTCTCGCCTGATCTCAGCCGGGGCCTGTAAACAGGAAGCCGGGCAGGGGGAGGCAGGGTCTGCGCGCCTGCAAATCAGTGGCGAGGGGTGGAGCACAGTGGTGGGTCTTGTAAGGAACTCTGAAGGAGATGTGGACAGGTGTTCACGCTGAGCTTTCTTTCTCCGCGTGCCGCCCAGTCCAGGCACTGTGGGGCATAGCGAGCATCTGTCTTCCTTCTGTGCTTGAGTTTCGGTCCTGTTTGCGAGGATGGGACCAACAAGTGAAAATCAGTCATGTTCTGTGATTCTGGCTAGGAGGCCCAGGTCAGCCCTGAGGAGACCACAAGCACGCTAGAACACTGCTCGCTGAGGGCTGCATTCCCGCAGGGAGGACGGGTGTGGTGGGGGCCTGAGTGACATATTAACTTTTGCTTTTGTTTTTGTTTAGTAGTCGTGGGAATTGAGCCCAAGATCTTCTTACTGAGCTACATCCTCAGCCTGTTTTTTAAATTATTTTTTTGTACTTTTTTTTTTGCCTTTTTGAGACAGGGTCTTGCCATACAGTTCAAGCTGGCCTTGAGCTCACTTGGTAGCCCAGGCTGGCCTCGAGCTCATAACGATCCTCCTGCCTCAGCCTCCTGAGTGCTGGGATTTCAGGTGTGCGCCACCATGCCCTGCTGTTTTTTGTACTTTAAAACAGAGTCTCAGTCACTAAGTTGCTCAGGATGGACCCAACTTGTGATTTCTCTCCCAGTTCCCCAGAGGTCAGGTATCACAGGTGCTGACCACCACACCTGGCTGCTGGATGACCTCTTAGAGGACCGAGGCGAGGCTAGGTAGTGGGCTTCAGGCAGCACGGCCCCAAACTTGGCTTAGGGGCTGAGGTCTAATCCAAGAGCCCAAACCTGGCTGGCCGGAGGGGATGGTGCACCTGGAGAGAAACTGCTTTTGAGAACTTTCTGTTGCCGGAAGCCTATTTTCAAGACACATTGTGGTGACATTTAAGAGAGGAATGGCAATGGTAGAAAATGCAGGATGTGCTTGTTGGCCTCTTTCAGTGTCCCGCAGACCTGGGCTCTAGGGCCTCTGACTAGCCTAGTGTTAGAGATGAGGAAACTGAGGCATGTTTGCTTGCTTGCTTGTGTATCTGACACAGGGCCTCACTGCAGTCCAAGCTGGACGTGAGCTCTATGGAGCCCGTGAACTTGAGGCTCCTCCTCCCCCTGTCCTTAGTGGTGTGGTTCCCGGCACACGCCCACGCCCACCTCCGAGAGGATTTGGGGCTGCTTTTTACATAGGTTTTGGAGAGTTAGAATAGGAAGTCAAATGGCTTCCATCTTCCCTTTGGGAACACCAATTCAAACACTATAGAAAGTAAATTTACACTTCTTTGGAAGGATAAAAAAGGTTTTTGAAAGCATCCACGAAAACAGACTGTGTATCTTTGCTTTGCATATCAGGCTCCTGATACGTAATTTTGCTTGCTTTCTGCCATCCCAGGTTATAACCCTTTGACGGGTGAAGGAGGCGGAGCCTGCGCCTGGAGACCTGGACGCAGAGGCCCCTCGTCCGGCGGATGAGGCTAAGAATCTTGTCAGTGTCCCTTTCGACGCTGGCAAGGTGGAGCTGAACCCTCAACTCAATTGCCTTCTGCACGCTTTTCACAGTTACTAGCCGAGGCGAGGTGACTTTATTTCCTAACTGTACGTGTGTGTTCGTGGCCTCCGGTGACATGGGATGTACGAATTGCCACGCGGTTACACGCCACTAGAGATGGTGGTCGCAGTCGCTGGTTTCATGCTGAGCTTCTAGCTGGTAGCGAGGCCTCTCTTGTACATTAGAATTCCTTGCCAGGAGGATGGTCTGTGACAAGTTGTGTTGAATGATGTCTTCCTTATAAACGGTGAGCCCACCAGTAAGGATTACTGATGCAGACAGTTGATGGGGTTTGTTTCTGTATATTTATTTTTATGTACAGAACTTTGTAAAAATGAAATTGTAAATGTTTTTAAAAAGTGAATAACGTTGTTAGCATCTTTATTAAATTCAAGGAAATTCCCTATATGAGCTTGACTTTGCAGTTGGACGTTAAAGGTTAATAATTGATAAGGTGATAATTTTTATCGCTCAACCTGGAGCTGTCACTACTTACTTCTCTACTTTTTATTTCTCACTGTAAATGACCATGGCAAGAGGCAGACACCTGCAGCAGACTCAAAAGCTAGCAGATTCTTTGGGGTTTATGTATAAAACAGCCACTTAGAGTTTAGTTGCTGAATTACTAGGATAAAGAAACATCTCACAGCCAGGGATACAGCTCAGTGGCACGGTGCTTGCCTGGGAAGGGTGAGGTCCTGAGTTCCAGTCCCAGTACCAAAAACAAAAAGAAAAAAACATCTCACTTCAAGGTGACTGGGACTGCAGGTCCTCCTGTTTCTGCCTGGACTCATGGATCACATTCTTATGGTTTATATCCAGCTGCCCTAAGCCTCAGGCGCCCCTGGGGGCCTTTGGAAGGTGGGTGGGTTATGGTGGTTTACAGCTGACTTGCTGGTAGGAGGTGGGGTCTGATGGGAAGAGCCAGGTCAGAGCGAGAGATCTGGTGGGTCTGCCTCCCTTTCCAGCTCCTGCCTCCACTCAGCTTCCCAGCTGCCTCCCCTGAGCAGCTCTCCTCCTGGGTGGGGGTGGGTGCCCTCCCACCGTGCCCATTCTGCCTGGTGCCAGCCAACTTACTTTGGGCTGAGGCCTCTAAAGTAGATACGAGCTAAAGTAAACCTCTCCTTTCGTTTGCTGGTGTCAGGCATCGAGTCTAGTGGTGAGAACATGACTAAGGCAGAGTCCTGGCAGGATTTTCTACGGGGCCCAGATGGTAAAGGTTTCAGACTTCGCCGACCGTATCCAGTCATCTCCCTCCCTCCGTCCCTCCCTCCTCCCTCTTTAAAGATTTGTAGCTGAAGGCTGGATGTGACCTGCTATAGGTGGTAGATTCCTGCTATAGAGTCAGTCAAAATTAAATTTGAGAATAGTGCTAATTAGCAGGACAAGTATTTTGGGATGGGCTCAGATAAGTTAGTGTTTATCGAACACCTGACGCAGGTAGAACACTGTGCTGTGGCATAGGAAGAAAACACAGACAGTCCGGCAGTGTGGGACCTGCGCTGTCCTGGGGAGGGGAGCGGAAACTCGGCACTTAACAGTCATTGACAGATAGGGTGGCACAAAGACGAAGGCTGCACCCAGGAGACTGAAGCAGGAGGACTGCAAGTTTGAGGGCAGCCTGGGTAACATAGCAACTGAGTGAGATTCTGTCTCACCATAAATACTGGGCTGGGGGTGTGGCTCAGCCCAGTGGCCTTGGGTTCAGTCTCAGTACTACAAGAACAAACACCAAAAAGATTAAGACTTCAAATCTGGAGAGATTTGAGTTCTGTTAAGTGGCTGTCAACTCTACTGTCCTTCATCCAGCTATTCATGTATTTGTTTATATATTTACTCATTTACATATTTATTTAGAGACAGGGTCTCGCTAGTTCAGGCTGGCCTTGAACTCATGGTGAACCTCTTGCTTCAGCCTCCGGAGTGCTGGGATTACCGCTGCGCACCGCCATGCTTAGCCCCCCTGAACATTAAGCAGTAGAAGGGCTCTGACCAGGGTTCTGTATCACAGAGCAGCCCAAGGCTTGCTCACTCTGGTCCATTCCATCTTTGTGTTTTTTTCTGCCATGGGCCTTCGATAAGGGGAGAGCTGTGCCTGGTTAATGTGGAAAGGCGACGGGTCACGGCAGTAAGCATTTCAGAGGGGTGGACCGAGGCCGCCAGAGAAGGTAGGTCTTGACTCTAGGACACATTGGAGGCAGAGGTAGAGGCTACTGTGCTGGAGCAGAGGAACTTTCCTGCTGACCCCAGAAGTCAGGGTCTTTGGCACGGAAACACTGAAATGGGGCAGCGCTGACACCACCGTCCCGCGCACAGGCGGGCACTGCTGGGGGAGAAGGGTCCCAGCTGAAGGAGTCGGTCTTGAGCGAGAGACCAAGCCGCTTTGCAGAGGGGAAGAAGCAAGCTTGTGTGGATTGGCCGGGGTGGCGGAAGTCTAGGAAACAGATGTGGTTGCAGAGGATGTTCCTTCATATGTAAGACGTGGCCCACTGGGTGTTTGCGGTCAGCTTGCCCTAGAAGCTGTTAAGTTTGTGTGTTGTGGCACCAGCGTTGTGTGCAGAACCTCACAGCCTCTGCCCGTGGGTGTTGGATAGGGCTGAACGTTAGGGGTGTGGGTCGCTGCGGCTGCTAAAGGAGCACAGGGGTTGGGATGGGCAAAAGAGGAGACAGAAAAGCCACTTCCATGTAGAGCTGAGCAGTGCCATCACCCAAAGGGGATGGCACAGCCGAGGGGACAGACACTGTGAAGCCAGATGCTCAGGCCCAGGTGAAGAGTCCATGTTCTTAGCCAGAATAGCCTTCAGGTCCCTGAGCACTAACCTAGGCAACCATCACCATGGTAACCCACGCAGCAGTTAGCTACAGCAAAACTAGGGGGAAGTTAACGATGTACTACCCAGTTGTGGCCTCCAAAATCAGTGATCTCTAAGTCTACTAAGAGCAGGTGAAGCTAGAGGTTTGATGTAGGCTTTTCCTTGGTAACCACTCGTTCATTTTGTGTAAACATCCTGCTGCTTTGGTTTGACCAGCGTCAGATGACCAGCCTGCTAAAAAAGGAGCACAAGGGTAGAGAAGCAAGGTGCTGTGCTACAAAGATAACAGTCTCTGCAGCCAGGGCTTGACCTCCGTGTCCCAGCCTTTTGTACCACATGGTGGCTCATGGCTGTCTCCAAACCCAGGCTGTCCTCTGGCTTGTCCCTCTGCAGAGGATACAGCTGGGATCAGAACATGTGTTGGCGCTGAAGTGACGGATGCTTGGGCGCTCTTTGTTTTTTTGTTTCTTTTTTGAGACAAGGTCTTGCTATGTAGTTCAGCCTGGCCTTGAACTCACTAGCCCAACCTGGCCTCAAACACACAGTGGTCCTCCTGCTTCCCGAGTGCTGGGCTTGTAGGCATGCACCACCAGGGCCAGCATCTTGGGGGCTCTTAGGTGTGTTAAGTGGTGAACACATGCCCGGTCCATCCTAATCACAGAGCAGCATTCATGAAATGTTGGGCAGAACACAGGTCTTCAGTGGGAACTTAAGGTAGCTGTGTCCTTGGCCTCATGGCTCGACTAAAAAGAGACTTGAACAGGCACGCCCGACCTCCGCATCATGCTAGCTGCGCCAGCGCCTCCTCAGCCCCTAGAGCAGCACCGCTCTGTCTGCGGAAGTCCACGGGCCCTGGGTCCCTCTGCATGCTCCTTGCTGCAGTGTAGCTTTGAGTTTTCTCAGCGCCGCAGCTTCTCCTGGGCTGTTGGATGTCAGACTCCAGGGGCTGTGGTCTCATTCGGTTGGACAGCACGCGACGCGGACTGTGCACAGGCCTCCTTGCAGCACCCCCTTCTCACCCTGGTAACGCTCCACACCCTGGACGTTACTCCCTGACCGCGCACGCCTCTGCCCGCTCTGGGGTCTCAGCCCCTGAAAAGCTGTTCTGCGTTCTCTCCCATTTTTCCTCCTCCATTCGGTGTTGGATCCCATCCGCTAGAGCTGTTGCTGAGATCACTTGTGGCGGGCAGTCTGATGGGCTGAGGGCTTCTCTGGAGCCGGCAGCCTTTGTGACCACTCTTCCTCTACACCATGCCCTTGGTTTCGGGGCCTCCCAGGGGCCTTTGGTCTTTTCCTGCCTTCCTGGCCGTTCCTCTTGCTGCGTTTTTCTCACCTTCCTGACCTGTAACTGCCCGGTGCCCCAGAGCTCAGTCTTTGGACCCATTGTCTTTCTGCCCCCGCGCCTCATCCAGGAGCTGAGAGGATCCCCCAGCCCACGGCTTAGCATCTTCAGGACCCCTGTGGGCCAGTGCAGGGTGACCATGTGCTGCTCAGCACCTGGTTCTCCCTCTGTGCAGAGGGTGCTGTGCTTCGTGCTCATTCTCTCCCCTGCCCCAATCTTGCAGATGCACCAAGAGATGCCCGGTACCTATGAGAGTCCTTGGAGCCAGGACAGGAAAGAAAGTCTTAGTCACTACTGTGCTGCCGCTGGACGTGCAGGTGCCGCACACGCACCAGTGCTCCTCCAGTAGGTGTGCAGGTAGTTATGGCTTGAGGTAAAATGTCAGTGTTCACAGCCTGTTGGAGATCACTACAAAGTGGCTCTGAGCAGGATTTAATATTAACCAGTTGGCTTTCTGTGTTCACTTGTGTATCTGTCTGGAAATGGCGGACTCATAGTAAGTGAACCTCTGTGAGTCACTAATCCCTACTGGAACCTGTAGTGGTGGATGAAGCCAGAAAGCCTCAAAGGACAAGACAAGATCACAGCCAAGAGCACCTGGGTCAGATCTCAACTAGATAAGACTGTAGCCGCAGGCATCTCATTCTTCAGTTGATTAACTTCAGACCTTACTTGGAGAAGTCCTTCAGTGGTTCTGCCCTTCTTGAGTACTCCTCTCCTTTCTTCTGATAACCAAATAAATACGGCCACCCAGAGAAGGTCGTGGTCTTAGCCCGGAGAGAATCCTGAATTTTGTGAGAGGGCTTTGATCCTCCTGGGGCCCTGAAATCATGCCATTTGCCTCTTTTTATTAAGCCTTCGCTGTACACTCATTCAGGAGATTGCGGACCTGGTCAGCCCGCAATAACTAAGGGATATTATTGACCCCATAATAGCCCACATGCTGGTGTAGAGAACTCACAGGGAAGGAAAGGATGCCATGGCGGGGAAGCAAGCCTTGAGCAGGCCTGGCCCTGCCCTGTGGGGCTTGTCATCCCAGGAAGGAAGAACATGGACTGAAGCAGACGTGAAGGACTCGAGAGGCCCGGATGGAAGATGCAGGCTACAGGAAGAAGGGCCCTGACTCGGACCCGCCGGCAGTCTGCAACCAGGGGTTCTACTGAGCTGGAATGTGGGAGTTGGAGAAGGTGGGAATGCTTGCGAGATGCTATAACCTCTGTCTCAGCTGCTATAACCATTACAGCAGATGGG